CAGTTATTAGATAATCAAAGTGAAGATTTGAACCTGGGAAGATGTTGGACAGATTCTCCTCTGGGAGCTGAAGTTTGAATTTAGTTTATATGGGGAGGAACAGAGAGTTATAGGCATTAAAAATGTAATAATTCTTCATAGCAGGGGCTTCTAGTTCTAACTTATTCCAACCTAAAGAGGTACTGATGCTTCAGGAAGGAGAGACAGGATTTAATTTCTTCCTTTCTAAAGAATCTTCTGCAGAGGTGCAAAGGCTGGGTACTCATTCTTAAATTTTCTTTATCTCACTCCTTGGTCATCAGTGGCTATGAAAAGACTGACTTTAACACATGAGGGGATGCGTAAGTTTGGTTGCATCATTTGAAAACTTTTAATTTTTTTTTAAAGATTTTATTATTTATTTATACAAGCACTGGGTACAGTCAGAAGCACGGAAGGGTGAGAGAATTCACCAGAGCCAGAGGAGAGAGCAGAACAGGCAGATTGATAAAGTACACTGCTGAGGGGAGCAGCAGGTGGCAGGAGAGGTCTGCGCGCCATGTGGAACCCTCGCCAGTGGCCGGGGATCGAACTGGCGCTGCAGAGGCTGAGGGCAGCTTCATAACCCAGCGCTCAACCGCTGTGCCACTGGGGAGGCCCCATTTGAAAACTTTTAAACTATATTATTTTTCCTCTCTATCATATACTAATTGTGTTAAAAACTAATTGTGTTAAAGTTCCTTTCCACTGAAGGTCTTACACACTAGAGTATGTTTGTCTTGATGTGGCAGACGGTGAAACCCATTTAGAGCAGGCTGGTTTGGGTTTCCCATAGTGCCCCTCACTCTGCCCTGTAACATTATAAGCAAATGAGGCTGCTGACGCATCTGGCCATCCCCAGGGGTTCAGCCCTCCTGTAATTCACATAAGTCAGGTTGGGGGTCCTTACACACACTGGGAGACCTTACCCATCATTGTAGGGTCCTTGCACATCACTGTGGGTGGGGACTTCTTTAACACCTTTTAGGGAAGCTCTAGTGTGAAAAGCATGAAGGCCTTAGGGTCAGCAGACCTGGTCTCATATTCCAACTCCACCACTTACCATGTGGCATCAGACAACTCATTTTAATGTCTCTAAAATTAAGTGTTGTTAAATTAATGAAAGAAGGAGGCCAATAGACTGTGGTGGTTCTAATACCTATGTGAGTAAACCAAACCCTAGTAATTGTCTTAAAGGCCCAGAGTCAAAACCTCAGGACAACCAATCACAGCTGACTAGGCGTTCCTGAATAATGCAAATACTCCACCACAACCAATCAAATGATTTCTCTGCTTTTCTTTTACCTTTTCCCTATAAAAGTCTTTCTCCTGGCTCATTAGTAGAGTAATCTTAGCCACTTCTTGGCTTGGTGCTCCCCAATTCCAATTGACTATTACTTTTTAAAGATTTCTTTCTATTTATGCATACAAGAACTCGGGTATAGGCTAGAGTTGCAGGGGGTGAGAAGACTCACCAGAAACGGGGGAACAGAACAGGCAGACTGATTGAAATACACTGCTGAGGGGAGTGGTGGGCGAGACAGGAGAGATCTGCTGCACCATGTGGGTCATCTCACTGGCCTAGGATGGAACTCAGGCCATACTGGTTGACAATAGTTTGATAGCGCTGAGACTTTAATCCCTGTGCCAGCTGGGAGGCCCCCAAATTGACTTTTTTAAAATATCTTCAAATATTTAATATTCTTGTTTATCCTTTAACAGTATTAGAAGTATTAGAGATGATAGAAGTAAAGAAACTCCTCCAGGGCCTCCCTGGTGGTGCAAGGGGTTAAGCACAGCACTGTAAAGCTATCCACAGCCTCTGCAGCATGAGTTGGATCCTCAGCCTGGATCCCCAGCCGGCCAGGGCGCTACCCACATGGCGCAGCAGTGAGTAGCTGCACTGCTCCCTTCAGTAGTGTATTTCAGTCAGTCTGCCTGTTCTGTTCCTCACTCTGTCTCTGGTGAATCCTCTCACCCCCTGCACCTCTGGCCTGTACTCCAGCTCTTGTATGCATAAATAAATAAAACTTAAAAGAGAGAGAGATTCCTCCATGGTAAGAACTTATATGTTTATATAGTAACTATTAATTTTGGTCTCTTAGTGTGTTAACTATATATTATTTTATGCTTTTATTAATAACGATATTTTGAAAATACTGATGTCACCTCATTGACATCTTATCACTGATTAAAAAATATTTCTCACCTAAAAATCAAATAACGGTAGATGTGTTTGTGTGTGTGGAGGTGGGAGCGGGGTAATAGAATGAGCCAGTGGCAAAAGCCAGTGGTCCAGGCTTGGGAATTGATGAGGTTTCTGAAGCCCACAAAGTGTAGAATAAGTTTGACAATGTCACCCCTGTTGCAATTCCTTGAGTTTTACAACTTGTTTCTTAAGAGGGCTGTAAGGAACATGGAGTTACTCATGCTTTTTTTTTTGCCTTCCTGCCAAAAGCCTCTGTGGCTGCCACTTGCAACTTTCTTTTCCTCCCAGGTTTCATTACCTACAGGTGATAACATATTACCACAAAAAGCACTTAGGAATGAGAGCACAGGACATGCACACCTATAACTATGGACACTGGACACCGGGGCAGAGAAGCAGGAGATGAGATGGCAGAGATGAGGAAGGGTAGAGGTTCAGTTGCTCTCTGCCTGCTGATCTGCCTGTGTGTCCAATTCCCTGCTTCAGCGTTAAAGGCATGTCAGATAGACCTAAGGCTCCAGGATTCTTTTTCCACTTGCCTGAATCAACCGTGAACCTGCCCAGCCTGGGATGGTTGCATGACAAGGGCATTTGGGAAAACAGGTCCCAAGAGGGCTCTTGGAGTATCACCTGTTTAGGGGCACATAGGAGGAATAGATAATGATGATGATGATGATGACAGAAATCAAGAAAAGGAAGCTAGCATTCACTGGATAATACCCATGATGCAGAAGGTGTGTTGCTACCATACAAATTCTCTTTTATTTTCCCAAATCCTTGAATGCAGTGGTTCTCATTCTTAGGCAATTTTATCTCAGAGGAGACAGTTGTCAATGTCAAGAGATATTTTTATTGTTACATGGGCAGGGGGTGTCACTGGCATCTAGCAGGTAAGGCCAGGGATGTACCAGACATCCTGCAATGTACAGGCAGGTCCTCACAGTGACAATCCCTTGGCCTCAGGTGTCATTAGTACTGAGGCTGAGGGTCGCACTGGGAGAGCATGTATGATGTCCATTCTCACAGACAAGCAGCTAGGAGTACTGAGACTTGACCTGGCAGGCAAGCCTAGACTTACACAGTGCCAAAGTCATGCTCTCTGATCAGACCACAGTGAAACTGACAGCGATGGGCATGAGGATGGCAAAGACAAAGAACCAGGGCACAGAACAATGCTCAAAGGATATCTGCTGAATGTGTGGATGAGTAAAAGAGTGGAGGTAGTGTAACAGGGTGGTCCCCAGGAAAGGGGGAAGTTCCAGGTCCCCTGCCCCACCCAAGGAAGGGTGGAGCTGAGCAGGGAAAGAAGAAGCTGCAGAGGAGGCTGAAAAAGGAAGCAGGATGGAGCCAGAAGGAGACCTGGAGGAGGCGCATGGAGCCGAGAGACACGTGAAGAAACTGTTAGGGGGAAATGATGTCCTGAGTTAATCCCATACAGGCTTTGTGGACTCCACCCCGACTCCAGACCAAAGCCATCAAGACATTGGGAAAGACAAATCCCATCAACCACCAAAGGGAGGGTGGCTGGGACCTGAGGGTGGAGTTGGGCAGCCAGGTTGGATATAAAAACCAAACACGTGGGCCTTGGGGTCTCTCTGGCTCGCGATCGCTCGCCTCCTGGCTTCACCGCTCCTGGCTGGCGGCCAACTCTGAGAGCGCCATTTTGGGATTCCAGATCGGCGGATCGGGTAGGACTCATTTAAAACTTTGTCTCCCACTTTTCTCCCAGAGCTGTACATTTCCTCATTTCCCCTTCCCTTGTAAATAAACCTTTTATTAACCTTTCACGTGTGCCTGCAGTAGAGCATTGATAAGTCCTTTTAAGCGCGTGGGTGAGGACCCACAGTCAGGCACCCCGTTTTGTATCGGGGTTGCTCTACAACAAAACCGCTTGTCTTTTGGTCGTGGACAGGGTGACACAGATGTGGGTGAGACCCGAGGGGAGGTGACAATGGCAGCTTTTATCTTGATGTTGATTTTGCTCTTTTCCTTCCTGGCTTGTCTGCTTGTTTCTGACCCTTTGCTGTGGGTCCCCATTGGAAGATGCTTTAGACTTGTGGCAGGCTTTGGGGCCTTGCTCTGGGCCAATCATGCTTGGATGGACTTTTCACCCCTGAGGGGATGGGTAACTTTGGGTGCTTGATTTAGAAACTATATTCTTTGCCTTTCCTGTATTGTTTCCTAATTGTATTAAAGTTCCTTCCCATTAAAGTCTCATGTTTTGTGTTGATGCGGCGGATGGCAGAACCCTATATAGAATAGGCAGGTTTGCGGGGTTTGGGCTGCCCCTCTCCCTGCCCTGTAACAGTAGGAAGTAATGAGGATAAGTGTGATCATTCCATCACCACCCTAATATAGCGCTGTGTCCATGTTCCACAATCTAGTTGTGAGTCCAGGGTTATGATAATAAAGAAAATGAAATGATAGTAGGTGGCCTCAAGACCCAATGCTTGAACCTCCAAATGGAACTGGAAGTAGAAGACTGCATGCATCCCTCTTCCTACCCCTTCTTCAGAGTTATGGACAAATGAGTGGTGCCGGGCTGTGACTGGGTGACAAATCTCCCCTTTTCCCAGAGGCTCAGGCCCCCTGAGGCTGGAACACACTGTTTTCCAGTTTGTAAAATATCTATGAATTTGGGGTTGGGCTGAGTCAGATTCCTTCTGGGAAGCCCTGAATCCTCTGTTCAGTTTGCAAGGAACAGGGGAAAAGGGAGGAGCCTGTGATAAGCCAACACTTCTCACTTCCTCTTTTGACCTCCGGGAGTTGATGTCCTGTGCAGTGCTATTTGTCAACCCTCGAGAGAAGCTAGTGCTTTCAGTGCAGGTGCTGTGGGCATCAGCTGCTCAGGGGTGATGAGGGGTCCCTCTTTCCTGCCCCTCCCTTCTGTGGACTGCAGACCTTGCCTTCTTTTGGGCCACATGCTAATATGGACAGCTCTGCTATTCCTGGGTGAGTCGGGGTCCCCGGGTGGGAAAGATAAGCACACTTTCCTTGCTTCCTTGCTGTCACCTTGATTGGGGACAAGCTTGGGCAAGGGGGGAGGGGGTGAAGATGGCATGGGAGCCTATGAGGAGAATTAGGAGGTCATGGCCAGCTGATGACACCCAAACTCTGACAATCTGCTGCCCTAGGTAACTTATGACTTGGAATAACTTGTTTTTGGTTTTTTTTTTTAAGATTTATTTATACAAGCACTGGGTACAGTCAGAAGCACGGGAGGGTGAGAGAATTCACCAGAGCCAGAGTGGGGAACAGAACAGGCAGACTGACGAAATACACTGCTGAGGGGAGCAGCGGGCTGCAGGAGAGGTCTGTTGCGCCATGTGGGACACTTGCCCGAGGGCCAGGGATCAAACTGGCACTGCAGAGGCTGTGGGCAGCTTCGCAGCCCAGTGCTCAACTGCTGCACCACCAGGGGAGGCCCTGGTTTGTTATTTTTTAAGTGCCTTTTACTCACTTTCATGGGGCACCCCTGTTCCTGATGCTCTGCTAGTCCCACTTCTCCACCCTTACCCCACATCACAACCCACCTTGAGGAAAGTCTCGTAAGCGCACTTCAGTGACTAAAGAATAGCCAGGTGTTTTTTCCTTAGAAATTTACAGTTTGCAGGACCAATTTCTAGGAGGAAAGGCTAGTGCTATATTAAAAAAAGGAGCAGGCAGGAAGCTATAGGACACATTTTTGGGGAGGTAGACAGCACTTTCTGGACCAGTCACACTTATTCACAGAGAAGTCTATTGTCTTCATACATAAGGAAAGTCCCCTGGCAAGAAACACAGAGGGGCTGGGCCACCCAGGGGCCTGGGCCCCAGAGAATACAGAGCCTGGCAATTCTGGAATCATGGTGGGGAGCCAGAGGAGACACACTGACTCCTTGCTCTGCACAGAGCTGGGGGAGGGTCTGGCTCTAACCAGGAAGCAAAGCAGGGTGCTTAGCCAAGATGGAGGGTTGTTTTCTGGTCATGTTTCAGCTCTGGGCCAGGGGCTCTGACTGTGCAGCTGGATGGGAGGAAAGGTCCAGATAGGACTGTCTCCCCATCTCAGTTCCTGGAGTTTTCATCCTCACACCCACCAGAGGAAGATAGGCAGCTGCTCCCTGAGTGAAGTGCTCAGACTGCTGGTTAAGTCTGATCAGCCCTGGGCCCTCGGTGCTGGGTGACACAGCAAGAGAGGTAGAGGCAAGGAAATGTTTCCCCCAAACTGAACTGCATCCTTTCCAAGTGGGGCAGCTCAGGCCTAGAAAGCTGATGTGTTCCCCTCTCTCTGCTGATAATGCTGATCACCAGGCAAGACCCCTGGGAGAGATTTTGGGGTTTTCTCCATTTGCCATTTTGCTAATTCACCAAGGGACAGCACCATTTCTTCTAATCTTTTTTTTTTTAAAGATTGATTGATTGATTGATTGATTGATTGATTTATTTATTTATTTATTTATTTATTTATACAAGCACTGGGTACAGTCAGAAGTGTGGGAGGGTGAGAGAATTCACCAGAGCCAGAGCGGGGAGCAGAACAGGCAGACTGATGAAATACACTGCTGAGAGGAGCAGCGGGAGGTCTGAGTGCCATGTGGGACAGTCGCCAGCCGGCCGATCACTGGGGAGGCTCCATTTCTTCTATTCTTTCCTGGGCTGCCACATTTAAATCTTCAAACTAGATGGCTCATTTTTCAACACCCTCTGACCCTGTCTTCATTACTCCTGTCTCCTCTTCCCCAAATCTACCCACACACTGAAGCCAGGGTCTCTTCCTGCACACTCTGGATGAGTCACCTACCCCATCAGGCCATTAGTGCCACTCAGTGCCGACTGAAAGAAGCTCAATCCTACCTCTTTACCACGCTCCCATTGTACCCCTAGTGCATCTTCCTCTACAGCTGTGTGCACTGTACTTCCTCCTTTCCATGATTTATCAAGCTGCCTTATTTAAACATTAAATAAATGTGATGCACAGGCTCTAGGATTTGGGGATTTGCCAGTGAATGAGACAGACACTTCCCTCCCTAAATCAAGCACATTCTGCACACACAGGATGATCACATTGTAGTCATATCCATGACTATTTGTGAAAATGATTGGTGACTTTTTCATCTTTCTTGTTTCAGATCCTCCTCCTCTGAGACTCTCCTTGGTTAGCTGCTTCCCCAGTGCTCTGTGTCCCTCCCAATCCCATGCACTTGGGTTTTGAGCTTTCGCTCCTGGGAGTAACTCCCAGTCTTCTCTTGCTTGTGTTAAGTCCAGTTTCCTCTAAGAAGCAAAACAAATGTCTCCTTCTATATCATATTTGTTGACACAGCTAGCCTTTCCCTGAGCCCCCACTTAAGGCATCAAACACACATCTGATCACAAGTCAAGTTCTCTTGAGAGAGAAGCTACAGGGTGGCATTGAAAATGTTTTCCATCCATGTTCCTGCAAATTGCATAAATTTATCTTTTTCTCATTGCTTAGTAGTATTCCATTGTGTATGTATACCACATCTTCTTGATCCTGAAAGGAGAAACCAAACATACAACAATGTTTTATTTATTTATATATATATATATAACTATACATTATACAACAATGTTTTATATATATAGTACTATATATAACTTTTACATATATAGTACTATATATACATATAGCAAAAAAATTTTTTTAAAGTGTTTTCTAAAGACATGATGTTTAAGCTGAGACCTTAAGCACATTAAGATTTTCGCTGTTTGAAGATAATACAGCATGTTGAAAGTACAGGGATGACTTAAACAAAATCCCCAAGTGTGAAGAATTACAAAGAGCTGATGTTACTGAGCCCCAGAAGAGGTTGGAGGGTACAGAGGGGTCAGGTGAGGTAAGGCCTTGTAGACGACTTACGTTTGACTTTAAGAGCAAAGGAAATTAATTGAAGGTGTGTAAGCAGGGCCTGATCTGATTAGATTTTAAAAAATAACTAGATTCTGTATGGAAAAATGGATCCATAGGGAGGACAAAAGAAGTGAAGAAAAGATGGGAGAAAGCTGGTAGGGATCTAAACCAGAATGGTGACCATCGAGATGGAGAGAAGTTGATGGATTCTAGGATTCTAGAGCTATGCTGGAAGCAGAAACATGATATACTGGTGGTGGTGGGGTTTGAGGCTTGAAAGAGAGAGAGAGAAGAAAATGCCACTTTCAGCCTGAGTAACTGGGTAGAAAAAGTAAAGATTGTACATTTATATTGGGAAGACTGGGAGAGAAATAGGGTGTGTCCATTTGATTTGACAATACACAGATCACTGTGATTTTGACAAGGAATGTTTTGGTGGATGGGCGAAGACAGAGTCTAAGATGCAGAGAATTAAGTAGCGGAAGGGAGACAACACAAAAACAGTAGGAAAAAAAAGTGAAAAATCTGTGAAAAAGAGAGTAGAGAAAGAATTCTGGATTTAGGGCCTCCCCGTGGCACAGATGGTTAGGCACAGCACTGTGAGGCTGTCTATAGCCTCTGCAGGGCGGTTTGGTCCCGGCCAGCCAGGGAGATACCCATATGGCATGGCAGACCTCTCCTGTCTCGCCCGCTGCTCCCCTCAGCAGTGTATTTCAGTCAGTCTGCCTGTTCTGCTCCCCGCTCTGTCTCTGGTGAGTCCTCTCACCCTCCTGCGCCTCAGCCTGTAAATAAATCTTAAAAAAAAAAAAAAAAATTCCGGAATTATATGGGGGTGAAGGGCAAGTTTTGTTTTATTTTTTAATGAAAAATCTTGGAATATGTTTATGTTGATGAAAAGATCCAGCTGAGAAGAAACTGATGGTGCACAAGAGAAGGGGAGACCAGAGAGTGAATCCCTGGAGAGGATGGAAGGCACTGGCCAGGGGAGACAGAGACTGTGTTTAGGAGGAAAGAAGAGCAGAAGGAAATGGGCAAAGGTGTGCATAAGTGGGGAAGATGTTTGATCTGCTTACCTGCTTTGTTTCCCCCATAAAGTCTGAGAAGGCATGGGCCTTAAATTGGAGGCAGAGGTCAGGAAAGTTGGGGCAGTAAGAAGAGATGAGAGTGACCACTAAGAGCAGCAGGCAAACTTACTAAAAAGTATAGAATCACTGTTCAGAATATGGTAAATAATGCGGTGGTCCATTTTCGGAGACATAAGTCCGCATGCTTGTGTGGTAATTCAGTAACAGGTGAACGATAACAAGGTGAATTTCGTAGAGACACAGAAGGGCAAGGGAGTTAAGGGGCTTTGCAAAGAGGTGACTGTTTACAATGGTGAATCATGGAATGCAAACTACTGCTGATCTTTGCTTTCTCTCTTACAGCACCTGCAGTGGGAACCCCTGGTAAGTGCCCTGTCCATCCTATCTCCCTTCCCCAGGGGCCCTCTCTTACTGTCCTCCCTACCTCCCCTACCCCCCCACCCCCCGTCCCCACAGCAGCCTCGAGGTGATCTGAAAGTACCAGCAACCCAGTACTGGGAAAAATGCCCCGCCCCTCTCCCTCTCTTAGTCCTGCCCCTCCTTCAGGGAAGTGGGGGTGGGGCACCCATGGGACACCCTGTGCTTTAACTTTTCTGAGTCCCTTATGGAGGACCATTCATATATTATCACAGAATATAACTGTCCTTTTTCTCAGTCGCCTTCCTCTCTCCAAATAAAATCAAGAACCCAGGCCATCTTAGTTTCAGCCACATGCAAACGCTTAGGTTGTCTCATTCTCAGTATTCCACTTTGCATGTATCTACAGACGTGCCCCTGGGACAGAAATAGAAAATATCACTCATTGCCGCTTGGTGTGAGCTCTACTGGGCATGTCTCTAGATACTTCCTCTCCCAGGACTGAGGGAACAGGGCTCTGAGCTCAGGACTACGGAGATTGATCCTTGCCCCCCTTTTTCCTTCTGAGGGCACCGAGGGTCCTCCGTGTCAGATATGAGGAGAGGTCATCTGGCCCCTTTTCTAATGGAGAAAGAATGACCTCAGATCAGAATGGAAGTCTGACTGACTTCCTGGCCTGCCACCTGCACCAGAGGGCCCCTCTTATCTTCACCAGGACTGGAAAGAGTTTGTTCACTAATGTCCAAGTCCTTTATTTACAAGGGAGGAAAGTGAGTCTGGAAAGGGTACATATGTGTAGACTATGTATGCATGTGCGGTATGGTGAGATACAGATATATATATATACACACATATATATAGCATGTGTGTGTTTGTGTGTGTATGTGTTTGGTGGTTCAGATAACCAAAATATATTTTTCATGCCATCAATAATTTGTTCTTCATCCAGGTCCAGGATCTTGGAATTCCCTGATGGGAAAGATGGGAGCATCTTTCCTCCCCATATTTGGTCTTTTGATTTTAGTTCCTCAGAAAGTTTCAGAGCCATAAAATATTTAAATGATGTCTTTTTATGCTGAATGTCTATGTTAATGAAGGTAACTTTTTGGAAAACACCTGAGAATGGGGACTGATTGCCAGGGAAACCAGGTGGCAGAGAGGTGCATCCTCTGATTTCCTGGGAGGGGACAGGATTGAAGGTGGAGTTTAGCTGCCAGTGAGGAATGGTTTAATTAATCCTGTATTGGAACCCCGTACTGTTATATGGCACAAAGGAAATGTGGACACCAGGGCTAACAAGAAGCAGGTTTAATGCACCGGTGCTGATTCACTGGATTCACATTCCAAGTCTTTGTAGGAAGTCAGGGGCTTATCTACACTTTCAGTTTCTACAAGGTTCTGGGTGGGTTTGCATTGGCAGCTATACATGGTCAGATATGACGTGGCTACATACCGAGAGGTGAGTCATATAGTTGCATACCAAGGGTAATTAAAGGGTCAGTAGTCATGGGACCCCTCCCCAGGTCCATCCTGCCTCATGGCTGTATATGATCTAAGATTCATATCAGGGACTAAATTGCATACCAGGAACTGAGCAAAAGGTTGTTACCAAAGTGCCCAAACTGCTCATCCCAGGTCGCCATGCTTCAATACAAATCCTAGAGGAGGGATCTTCAGGCCACTTTCAGGTTGGTGAACATGTGAAAATTTGGGGGAGGATGGGGACCCTCCAATGGCATGGAAGCTCCATGCCGTCCCCCATAACTGACCCCTTGCATTGCTTCCACCTGACAGTTGATACTGTCCTTGTGATAAATCAGTAATCTAGTGGGAACAGGTCTCCTAAGTTCTGTGAGCCACTGATGTTTGAGGAAGGGGGCACCTCTGATCTATAGCTGTTTGGACAGACACACAGGTTTGCGGTCAGTGTCTAAGTAGAGGGCTGTCATGGAGACGGAGCCCTTAACCTATAGAATCTGAATCTACTTCTGAGTAAATAGTGTGAGAATTGACTTGAATTCCCTTTCTTGTTAGGGTGGGAAACCCTCAGCACCCATACAACTTTTGGAACTGGGTCCTGGAACCCAGCTAAGGGGTGTGTGTGTGTGTGTGTGTATGTGAGAGAGAGAGAGAGAGAGAGAGAGAGAGAAAGAAAGAGAGAGAAAGAGAGCAAGGAGAACCCTTGGTGAGTTTTCCATTTATTTCTAGAATATCTACCTTGCTCCCTTTCCCTTTCTCTTGTTTTCTCTCTGTCTCTCTCTTTTATTTTATACATTTCAAAAGGACCGTTTTATTAGGAAAAGGAGAAAGAAAAAGAGAGGCACTTGCTTAGTCACAGGCAGGCACAAGGGCTCTCATTTTCTCTTACCTCTCCCTCTCCTTCTAAGGCGCAGTCACATGCCCTGAGGGACTTGCTGCATCCCTGTCCTTCAGGTGGACGTGTGAATAGTAATTGTCTCAGCAGTTCCGGGGTGGGTTCCTGTCTTGATGTCTCCAGCAGGACCACAGGAGCGCCCTTGTCTGAGACTGAGGGCCTGCTCAATGTCTCGGGACCCCTTTCCTCACGCTGCCTGCTCTCTGCCCCTCAGCAGATCTCCCGAAGGCCGTGGTAAGCCTTGAGCCCCCTTGGGTTAACGTGTTTCGGGAGGACGCCGTGACCCTCAAGTGCCAGGGGAGCGGCACCCCGGAGGACCACTCCACCCAGTGGTTCCACAATGGGAGCTCCCTGCCCACCCAGGAGCAGTCCCACTACAGCTTCCACGCCAGCAGCAATGACAGCGGAGACTACAGGTGTCAGACGGGCCAGACCAGACTCAGCGACCCTGTGCATCTGGGAGTGTTTTCCGGTCAGTGGAGGAAGGTCGGGAGCATCTGGGAGGGCAAAATGAAATCTGCTTATAATGCAAAGGATTTGGGAAAGGGAGGGGTCTGCTTACTTGGAAAGCATCACTGTGAACTGTTTGACTTTTTTTGTGCACTCATTTCCCCTTTCAATATCCCTCTCCTCTCATCCCCTTTGCTGGGGGGTGGAAGTTCTACAAAATATATTGAATGGCTTTTTCCTCTGTCTTCATTGAGCAAGAAAGGTGGCAAGGCCACAGACAGGCCATGGTATGAGAGCAGCCAGAATCTCTGTGCCATGAACTCTTTCCCCTTCAAGGCAGATCTGAAAGCACAGATGGGCCGCAGCTGGCTCCCAGCCTGAAAATTACCTTGCAGACAGGATGACTACAACCGAGCCCTTGAGTCTCAGTTTCCTCATCTGCTCAGTGGACATACAATGCTTCCCTCTTGGGGTTGCCCTGGCCCCTGTCATCTGTGCAACCCGAGGTGAAAGCTGCATTTAAGCGATCCCTGTATTTCTAGCCCTGACACAGGGCCTGCCGTGAAGGTTTGCTGAACAAACTGATGTTTTTTACAAAACTCCTGGCAGAAAAGTTCCCATGAGATTGTAGCAAACATTGTCATTGGGACACTTCACTTAGTCTCTTTCCCTCTCCCGATTCCCAAATGTTCCTCAAAGGTACACAATAGGCCAGGCAGACCCCTAGCACCCTCCACACAGCCACACACCCCAGGTGATCCAGCAGTAGCCACAACTGTCACATGACGTCCCTCAGTCGCCACATGCTGTCCCTGCTGCCTCTATCTAACATGTAGTCTGTGCACTGGCAGGGAAAACCCCAGATACTGGCTGTCAAATGCAAGGTTAAGTCTGAGGAGGAGACAGACACGGTCTCTACTCCAGGCTTAATGCTTCCTAACAAGTTGTCTCGAGCAGCCGAGACCACAGGGCCTTGGAGAAGAGCTGTCATGGAGAGAAAGCTGAACTGGTGGGGTTGCTAGTACCCCAAGCAGGGAACTGGCTGCCATGACCCCTGACCATCAGTACTGCTTCTGACACTAACCACAGTGTCTAGACAATGGGTGACTCAAGCTCTACAGGCCATTGCAAAACCTTGGATGCTTACCGAATAATGAAGGCTGGGTAGGTTGTTCTCCATTACTGAAAGAATCTGAGGAGCCATTATAGACAGGCCTTCCAAGAGGGCTGAGAGAGCACAGTGAGTGGTTCCTCTAGGAGGCCAACCAGGCCAAGCAGACCTGTGCAGGCACCAGGGTAGGGGGAACCCCTAAGAAGCAGTTTCAAGGGCTACAAGAGATTGTGTACTACACAACCTCTTACAATGAGAGCTTAACCTCCAGTTCTGGCTGAAGAAGAGGAAAAAAAAGGAATGTTTCAGGAAGTTGATTATGCTGTACTCAGCAGCACAGGCCCAAGCAGGTCCTCTGACAGCACCACGCAGGATCCAGGGCAAGTGCCACATTGGCCAAGGGGACTCAGGCTGGGTTTCAGATAATTACAGTTGTGGTGAAGGCCCTGTGCTCATCCAAACTGGGTATATGGCCTGAGGACATCCACACGGCTCTACCAGCACTGGAATTACTGAACTTCCACCCTGTGCTCCTGTCCACTGGCCCTAACTTGATATGTGGGGGTGTATGAGTTTATCGTGTCTCTGGAGGCTGCCAGGAGATTGCAGGAGCCTGGTTCTCAGGACACTGACAGGAAGGCCTGCTTAAAGAAGAGCATTTCATGAATGTCAAGAACATGCAGCTGTGTCCTGCCCTCAAAATCTGCACCAGATTAGATGTCCTCGAGGAGACCTAAGGCCACCCTCTGGCACACATCAGCCAAGACAGGCCCTCCGCACTTTCCGGCCATAACCTGCAGAGACTTTTCAAAAAGAAAGAACTGTGCTGATGGTATAAATTTTATGTAGAGGGAATTCCCTAGACTGGGAAGAGAAATGTAAGAATTGAGCTTTGATATTTTCTCTGGATTCTACTGTATTTTAAAAATCTTTACAATTCCCCTCATTCCTGCCTACCCTCATCCAATCTACATCAGGCAGTGTAGACCACTGGCATGGCTAAGTCCTATTCTGGAGTGGAGTCCTACCCAGAGCCTCAATTCTCCAAGAAGAGGAATAAGGCAAGGAGTTGTTGGGTGCAGACTCAGGCCTCCCCAAGAGAAGAGATATGGGTTTTTTCTGGCTTATGCAGCACAAGCAGAGAGATCTGGGCTCCCTTTCTTGTCCCAGTAGAGCAGTGACCTCTTTGTTGTCATTCCCTCCCTCAGTGGTGAACATTTCTCCTACATCCATAGCAGGGTCACTTGCCAGGATAGTCTGGTTTGCTGTAGAGACTATGAAAGTTTGACCAGCATGTGTGGCTGTTATCATTCTGGGTTGTAAACCCCCACAGTTTACTTTTCTTTTTGTGATGTAAATGCCTGACTTAAGCTCTGTTGCATCCACCTTGAGCAGGCTGGCTCCAGCAAACTCTGCCAGCCAGGCTGCCTTTGTTTTACAGATCTTGCTTGACTACTGACCAGTTAGTTGGTGGTGACTTATGTTTCTTCCTTTTTCTTTTCTTTCTTTTTTTTTTTTTTACTGTATAAAACATTTAATTTATTTGTTTGGGGTTTTTTTTTTGGAATTTGATGCATCATCAGTGTATTACAACTGAGCCATTAATCTTGTAGCTTCATCAACATTAACTGGTTCATTTTCATGACACTGCTGGGGAGTCAGCTGTTTCTGCAGAGGTTCAAGAGAAAGGCCTTTTGAGAAATGTAGAAGTTCCTTTTTGTATATCTACAAAAGCTTTATTCACTCTATTAACTTTTTCATCATTCACAATGTTTATCTTCTTCAGATTAGTCATAACTGGTTTTGTTTTGTTTTTAGCCTTAAAGTTTTTCTGGCTGGCTATGTGAAATACATTCCTGGACTTAGGTCCTCTTAGTTTGTTCTTGGCCATTGTCAGACCTTGGGTACCCTCGTGCGGCAGCTCAAGTTCCGGGAGATGCCATCTGCACGCCCAGCCTTTTTCTTTTCTTTAATCTCTTTTCACGTGCTTTCAATTCCCACTTTTATGATTTATTTATTTATTTTTTATGATGTTAATTGAAATTTAACATTACATAAGTTTTTTTTTAAGATTTATTTATTTATGCATACAAAAGCTGGGGTACAGGCCAGAGGTGTGGGGTGAGAGGATTCACCAGAGAAAGAGTGGGGAACAGAACAGGTAGACTGACTGAAGTACACTGCTGAGGGGAGCAGCTGGTGAGCCAGGAGAGGTCTGCTGCGCCATGTGGGTAGTTCCCTGGCCGGCCGGGGGGTCGAACTCGTGCCCCAGAGGCTGCAGACAGCTTCATAGGTTGCGTCTTAACCTCTTGAGCCACCAGGGAGGCCCTCCCATTCTTATGATTTAAATTCACCAGTAAATAGTGAGCCCCAGGCTCCGTACCCTCAGCCCATTAAAAGCAAAACTCAAGGCCCTTGCCTACTGTCTCTCTCTACCAGTCACCTACTGTGACCCAGTTTTGTTGTTTAATTTCCAGATTTGATAAGTAATAAACCTCTATTTCCTGATGACTCTTGCTCAAGGGCATCTTGCAATCACAAGAAGAATCCCAAGGTTCCAATTGTAACATTGGCTTGAAAGGTAAAACGTCCATAGGAAACTCACTGGGTTCAAGTGAGTGACCCCAGGTATTTTTAGCAGAAAGCTGAGACCTACACAGAACACATTCCTTCTGTGTCCCAGAGCTCCCCTACAATTTGTCCACCTGACCTTTCTGAAAGGTTCAGCGTGGTAAAGAAAAGGAGAACCAGGCTAAATTTCTCAAAGGCAGGGAAAATTTTTTGTGCCCTGGGCAGACCTCATGGACCCAAGGTGGGGGTCAGTGAAGCCGCGCACGTTGGCAGGGGGATGCAGGTTTTTATAGGGTGAGGAGGGTTCAGGTGGGAGACTGGGTTCGTATGGCAGGAAAAACTTTGTAGGGTGGGGGGAGTTTCTTTGTCTGAGAAAAGATTTGTAGGGAGGGGGAAGGTTCATTTCTGAATCCTCTAGGCAGGCGTCCGCATTCCTGTTCCCAGGTGGGCTACCTGGTGGGTTTTTGCATTCCGGCCTCCTGCATGGACCTTTCACTTTCCAATTCCAATTATGCTCTATCACTTCAAAAAAACAGGAACTCATGGAACTGAGGGCTAAAGCAGCCAACTCAAAGACTGTTTGCTCTTCAACAAAAGTATTTGAAAAGTTTTCTTCCTCAGTGAAAGGATGAGAATCAGGGAAGGGGTGGGGAGTACACAGCAGGCTAATGTCCCACCTAAGACACCGCAGCCTTCAGACACTGACGTGAAGCTCCAGATTTAACTAAGTCATCAAATAAACTAATATCTATTGTCCATGACTTTCTAATATCCACGTGGACAAATGTCTCTGCTTAGTCCCCCTCACATGTCCTTTCTCTTGTCAGACTGAATTCCTCCCTGCCCCAGGGATTGACTGCATTGTATGCTTCCTGCAGAGACCAACTGGGCAAGCCAGGAGAAAGAAGGCAAGCGTATCCTGGGCACCTACTATGTGCAGGAACAATTGTAGCTGCATATTATCATAGATAAAATGAAATAAGAAAACTGGGGGGTCAGAAGCATTTTCACAGAAGAGAAAATTAAAGTACCCAAGACTATAGAGCTCATCAATGATGGAGGCAGAAGCAGGGACCAGGGCAGTCTGATTCCAAACGTAAGCTATTTCCTCCAACATCAAGTCCTACCAGCAAGAGTAGCCTGGGTCTCAGAGTTGAGTCTAGCCCTCCTGGATCCTGTGTCCCCTTTGTGTCTTTCAGACTGGCTGCTGCTCCAGACCCCCAGCCTGGTATTCCAGGAGGGGAGCCCCATCCTGCTGAGATGCCACAGCTGGAAAAACAAGCTTCTGCACAAGATCACATTCTTCCATAACAAAAAATCTATGAAGTATTACCACCAGAACTTGAACTTCTCCATCCCACAAGCAAACCTGAGTCACAGTGGCGAATATCACTGCACAGGATATATAGGGAAGAACTTTCACTCATCAAAGTCTGTGGTCATCACTGTCCAAAGTGAGACTCTGTCAAGATACAAGTTGGGGAGAAGAGAGGGTGGACAGTTATAACTAAGGCCTTAGGAGCCTACATGGAGATCTAGAAATGCCAGGGAAGTAAACGTGGGCACTGAGAAGAGAGGAGAGGAATGGACCTTGCTAAATCTTGGCCAGGGGGCAGAAGCTGGGGCCAGATCCCTCAGGTCCAGGTGATAGGTGACCAGGCTATTGTCCCACTTGGAAAGCAGACTGCATACTAAGGCCAGGAGCAGAACAACACTCTCTCATTGGCTCAGAGCTCTCCTAAACTCTTGGGAATTCCGGAGAGCTGAGGTTTGCCTGCTTGCTTATAGCTCATGTTATGCTCATTCGCTCTCCAAGGCATGACATGTCCCCATACTTCATGGCTGTGCTGGATACAATGGTGGGGCCTCTAATGATGGGAGGCTTTAGGCCCACCCTCCTGCTGCTCCTGAGTGCTAAGAGGAACTCTCCCCTCTGCCCCTACATATGCAACAATGTGCTTTCATGAGATGAGAGAAGTTGGGTTTGGGGCCAGGCTAGGCCAGCCACAAAAACCCGTATGCCAGTGAGGTTGAAGAGGAAGTGGACGTGGTACCTGGGAGTGAACTAGATATAGAATGGCTCCAGGGAGAAGCAGGGGAGGGCAGTGGGAGAGGTGGGATGGGGAGAGCACTGCCTATCCTGAGGTCTTGTCTTCCCCAGAGCCCAAGTCCAGCAATATAGTGATGCTGATCGTCGTGGCCGTGCTCATTACGGTTGCTTTGGTGGCCATTGTTGCTGCTGGCATCGCCTGGTTCCACCTCAGGCGAAGGGGGATTTCAGGTTTGTGGCTTCTCTTGTGGTCATTTCCTACTTGGTGAAGCTCTAGCCTTTGCCAGAACCCTTAATTCTGGGCTACAGAATATTTAGAATTTAATATAGCCCCATGTTTCATTGATTCATTCACTTACTAATCCATTCACTCAACAAGGATCAAGCAGACTTGCTGTGTGTCAGACACCATGCTGGACATTGTGGATGAAGCCAGGATAGAGTCCAGTCCCTGCCCTCCAGGAATTCGCAGGATTGTGGGAAAGACAGAACTGCAAATAGATCACTATAATTAGGTGGGATGAGAACAATGATTGAGCAATGCAGAGGTAATGATGAGAGGGCAAAGAGCTGGCAAGCCCGGCCTGGCATGGGGCAGTTAGAGAAGGGCGAGGGAGGCAGTTTGGGTAGGAGAACAGCACATGTCGGGGAGCTGGGCTGCTGGAGTTCACATCTCGGCCACCTGGCTCAGCAGCTGTCCAACCTCAGGTAGTCACTCAACACACCGCCTCAGTCTCTTCATCTGGAAAGTGAGGACCTACATAGGAGCTGGTGCACAGGGTGGTTAAGGAAATGCATGAGGCTGAAGCCCCTGGACATCCTTAGCCACAGCACCAAAGTCTGAGCTGCTTTCGTGACGGAAGAGATGAGGCTTGAGAGTAGTAGTCAGTCAGGCAAGGAGAGCTAAAGAACATTTTAGGTGTGGGGACAAGACATGTAAATGAGGCACTTTGTGGCCACGGTGGGAGTCAGGGGAGGAGTGAAGAGGCATTTTGATGCCATGAAAGCCATTACTTGTGAGGCAGGAAGGAAGGAGGTGAGAGAGGGCAGAAAGATGGGCAGGGGGCCCACATAGGCCACCTCAGAGAACTTAGCTGTGTTCCAGAGGTGCTGGCAACACCACTGGACATGTCTCCTGGGTCTTCCCTTTCCCCAGCACCTAATAGAGAACTTGCTACACAGCAAGACACCCCACGTACTTTTATTCAATAGCAGATCCGTCAGCTAAAGAAGTCAACTCTGGGAAAGCAGCTTCTGTTCTCAGGACTAATGGAAAGGAGTTGAGAGGGTGGGGAAGTACCATAGATCTCTAATGAGTCAGTCACCATAACTCATCATATGGAAAGGCACATTTGTTGGAGAAAGAAAGGGGAAGAACTTTTGAGAAAGGGAAAGTAATGGCACTAACATCTCACAAAGTGCTTTGTCATCAGTTCACGGCCAGGACTTCAGTAACTGGTAAATACAAAGGCAACGGGAGAAATTCCAAGAGAGAGAGCAGTGCTTTGTAAAAGGCAGAGCAGGCCTAAGAGAGATGCAGTGGGTAGCCGTTCTGACTCTCCCAGGAGTACCCAGTGGCTCTGAACCAGAAATTTCCAGACAAGAGCAGTCTTGGGCAGGAGGCCTGGGAGTGGGGAGGGAAGTCGTAACCATGCTCTTTCTAGTCGAGTCCAGCCCCTGGTCCTTCATCCTCAGATCTCAGACCCCACCCCATAATCCTACTAACCTCTATGTGCCCCTCCCAGCCTTCCTCGGAGCCCCTGAGCACAGGGAAATAGGAGAGACCCTCCCTCAGGAGCCAGGTGAGTATGCCTCCCCTTCGTGATCAACCAGGGGCTACAGATGGATGGAACCATCAAGGCGGGCCTTGTGTGTGGTGAACTAGGAGGGGGCAGTGGGAGGAGGGTAGAGGTGCAAATCACTTGGTGAGTTCTGAGACTAACTCCTGGGCCTGAGGAGCTCCTTCTTGAAGAGGAGGAGAAGGGAAGAAGGAGAAAGATGCAGGAAGTGGTTTGATGATGCCATTGAAGCCATGAGTTGCAAGGCAGAAGCCCCAACACTAACCTGTCCCTGGCAGAGGGCGGAGGGCAGTTTCCAAATCTCTGGGACCAAGAATGATGGGGACATTTCCAAAGCAGGAAATCAGAGCTGTTTGGGTCTTTCTAGGGACTTTGGCTGAGGTGGCACAGGACAGAGGTTATAGGTTATGAGATTGAGGCAGATAGGATTAAGGGGGTAGTATTTCAAAAGGAAAGAGGAGAGGCTAGGGGGAAAGGCCTGGATTGCTGAGCAGTCTGTGTGCAGTGATAGGTGAGGGTGGTAGAACTCAGCTTTAGTGGTACATTAAGAGATTTTTCAGCTTGAGAAAATTCTGGGGGTCTAAGGAAACCAGTGGGCTTTGCTCTATGGGCAAAACTTGGTTCTGTTGTCGACTCCTGAAGGTTTACTGAATGTGGGCCTGGACTAACTGTCTCCATCATAGAGTGGCTCTTTATAGCAAGTCATCCCCACCATGAGGTTCAGTTGCTTCATTAAGGAAATGAGTGGGTTGTCCGGAAGGCCCTCTGATCTCGTCCAGGCCTGACTTTCTGAGTCAGTGCCCATCCAACTCCTGCCCAGTGGGAGTGTGTGAAAGGGAGGAGTATTCCGGGCAACTTCCTGACTGTGGCTAAAATCAGTTTTCTCTGGGGGCTCCCATGACAGCAGAGATGGGCATGCAGTCCCAGAGGGTGCCACCTCACTTCACTGTGAAGCATGACTCAGAGCTGAGCCGCTAGATTTGAGTTTGTGCAAAATGACACTGTGCTTTCAGCAAGTCCCCTGTGTCCCTTGGCCTGGTCAAGTGGGAATGCAGGCCTGAATCTATACCAGACCCAAACCAGATCTAGAAAAAGCTCAGACACAGCTAGATTGTCCACTCTGTTTGGCTCTGTCTTCACTGGTGTAATATTTTCATAAGCATCTATGAAGTCAGGCACTGATGTTTTCCAAGGCAGAGCTAGGTGGCTGGGATTGCTGAGGGGTAATGCATTAGAAGGAGAATTCAGAATGTGGTTCGTTTCAGAATGTGTGGCATGGCAAAAGAAGAACTCTTTGTGTCCAGGAGATGAGTAGAGACTAGAAGCAGCGTTTAGACTCCTCCCCAACTTCTGAGGAACACTGCTTTGCAGATTCTAAGGCTGCTTTTTATACTGGGAAAGCGGGTTTATTGGCAAAAAAAACATGAGGAATTTGATGTATTTTAGATATTTGCCAGGAGAAGTACTGACTGGCTGGTTTGCTTGCTTCCCTGCAGCCTCCCTTGCTCTCCTTCACTCTCACACTTCTTTGTTAATGTTATAGAGCCCCAGAGTCTTCAAAGTTCCAACCAAGATGCACTGCATCTGCCCCATGTGGAAAGGGCCTTCAGACTTCTCTCTTGAAGTCTGTCACTGGCAAAAGCTGAATTTTATTTCATTCTGCAGTACTAAATTCTCCCCACACTTTCTCAATGTCTCCGAGCCCCAAACTTGTATGGCTTGGTTCTTGAAAATGCACTCATTCTCTGGAGAGAATGTGACCCGTGTCTGCTTCCCCTTTTCACTGTGGCCTGTAGAGGAGGCCACATCTGGGACACCGAGGGTGGGTGGTGCTGACGCCACGTTCATTCAGCTCTTGGCCTATAGACCTGCGCCAGGGACAGGGGTCCTCACCTCAGGCCTGGTTGGGGGCCCGCTTTTACAGCTTTGGCAGCAACATAGGAAGACCTTCTTCTACAGTGGGGCCCTGGCTGACCTCTGTGCTTTTTGCCCACAGCTAATATCACTGATACTGAAGAGGCTGCCAAAGCCGAGGTGAGTGATCCCAGCCACCCCTTCTTCCTTCCCCCCCACTGCCTCTTGTGTTGCTTACATCTCTGTGACTTGTCTGTGATGCCCACTGCTCCTTTCTGCTTCCTCCAGGCTGAGAAAACTGTGACCTACTCACTTCTCTCACATAATGAAGCCGCAGAGGAAGAAGCAGAGTGCCCTGATTACCAGAACCATATTTAGTCTGTTGTCTTGCCTGGGACGTGGGAAAGAGAAACGAAAGGCTGGGATTCGGTGTCTTCAAGCCTCAACTCCTGTAGGGGTGGACCAGAGGGTGCTACAGTTCCAAAGAAGAATCTTCCAGTGTCATCCTCAGGAGTCCTAAAGCTCCCCATCCCAATGCTACAGAAAATTTGGCCCCAGATGATGAATGTACTGATTCCTCCTGTGCCTCTATTCTTCTCGCCAGCAAGAATCTTTTACCTTCCATCCACCCAGTAACAAAGATTTAAGAGATTATAGAAACACGAGAAATGCTTATGTTACAATTATCTGAGAGAAATTATACAAGTAGATATGATTTCAGAAATGGTGATCTAGATTAACATATGCCAGTACATTAAAAGTGGTGTTTCAGGGGGATGGAATTACTAGTGATTTTTATTTTCTTTCTCTATTTTTCTATACAGATCATGTATTACTTTTATAATAAAATACTGTAAAGCCAGCATTTTGTTTACCTTTTAAAAGGCTGTTATGGTTGGAATGCAGGCTGATCCAAAGTCTATTTCTTTCAATAATAAGAATCTTGGGAAGATAGTAAGGGGTGCTAAGTACATGGGGGAGAGGGATAGTTTCTAGTGTAGGGTGAGAGTCCCTCTTCTTCCAGTGAATTTGTGTTCTTCTTTCCATGTCTTCTTCCTGTGGCAAGTGGTTGAGCTCTTCTGGAACACTAGCTCTCAGGAGGCCAAGTTTAACGTGAGTCCTCAGTGGGGGTTACTGGGCTCTCCTGCCTTGCTGTTCTCCGGTTATAGTAACCAGAAGAATGTGACCTCAGAGAAGTCATTGGCAGGTTAGAAATATGACTGATAGTTTCCTTGGGGGGTGAGGGAGGTTGGTGGGTACCCTTGGAGAGGCTCTGTTTTCCTGGGATGCTGACAAACAGGGCTTCACGTGTCATTCTCCTTGCAGTCAGGATTACAGGCTTCCTCTGTTGGGTAGGGTAGTTTCTATAATTCCTGCTTTTTATAGTCCCACAGTCAGACTTCACACTCATATATGGTCATAGGAAGGAACTGCAGTGACCATGACTGGGTTTGCCAAACTATGTCCTTCAGGATTAGAGAGTTCAAGAGTGTTAACCATTCGTATTTCTTCTTTTGTGATTTTCCTGTTCACATATTCTTGCCATTTCCATAGTAATATGTGCCTTTATTTATAAATTATATAATAGTGACTAACTTCCTTTTGTTTATATGGAAATTGCTTTGCTATACTCATTTTTTAAATAAAATTACAGATAGCAAAAATGTTAACCCACAAATCAGAAATAATCAATGCTAACATTTAAAGACTATCAATCCTCAGGGCTGTTTCTAGCAACATGGATGTGTGGTCTAAAGATCAGGTCACATAATATTTATACATGCTTGTAAACACACATAGGCAAAAATTCATGCTCATTGTAAGCACAAGGCTCAAATAATAAATATAAAGAGTAAAAGTGAAAGTTCCTTATTGTCCTTACTTTCCTCAATTCTGCCCCTCCCCCCCAATTCTAGAAGTAAACCACTATTGAACATTTAGTATATATTTCTGGATTTTTTGGTATGCATCTAATACACAGTTACAAGGTTTTTTTGTTTTGTGTGTTTTTTTTTTTTAAAGACTTACTTTTTTATTTATACGATAGCTGGGGTACAGGCCAGAGGCAGGAGGGTGAGAGGATTCACCAGAGACAGAGCGGGGAGCAGAACAGGCAGACAGACCAAAAGCACTGCTGAGAGGACTAGTGGGCGAGACAGGAGAAGTCTGCTGCGCCTCGTGAGAATCTCCCTGGTCAGCCGGGAATAGAACCCACGTTGCAGAGGCTGCTGATAGCATTACAGCTCTGCGCTCAACCCGCTGCGCCACTGGGGAGGCCCCATAGTTACTGTTTTTAAAAAGACAGTAGGGTCATAATTTACATATGCTTATTCATTTGGTTTATTTTTATTAAAATTATATTGTCCAGGGCCTCCCCGGTGGTGCAGCGGTTGAGCGCTGGGTTGCGAAGCTGCCCGCGGCCTCTGTGGCACTGGTTCGATCCCGGGCTGCTCCCCGGCCACCGGAGGAGGGTCCCATTTGGCGCGCAGACCTCTCCTGCCGCCCGCTGCTCCCCTCAGCAGTGTACTTAGGTCGTTCTGCCTGCTCTACTCCCCACTCTGGCTCTGGTGAATTCTCTCACCCTCCCGCGCTTCTGACTGTACCCAGTGCATGTATAAACAAAACAAACAAACAAACAAACAAACAAATAAATAAAAATACATGCCTCTAAAAAAAAAAAATTATATTGTCCAGCATTTTCATGAAACTATTTTTTTTAAGCATTATATAGTATTCCATAGTACAAATACTAGACCATATTTTATTTAACCAACATTGTAAATATTACCAATTTTTCATCCTTTTAAATACCATTATCAACAGCATTCTTACTTGATATTTTTGACTGGATATGTGAGTATTTCTGATAGATAAATTCCTGAAAGTGAAATCACTGACTCAGATGTTTTCACATTGTTTTTAGAAAATTAATTTACATGTCCTCCCAAATTATATTAGGGTACCCATTTTCTGACACCCTTGTCAATGTTAGGCATTTTTAACGTTTGCCAATCTATTATAAAGGACTATGTCACTGTTCCCTCAAAGAACATAAAAGCAGAGTAATAGTAGTAGGTGAACAGTGACCAGGGAAGATCTTGCAGAAGAGGATGTTTGAAAGAACTGAGCAGGTGCCACAGAGCAAACTCAAATAAGGCTTTTTTAAAAAGGTGTAATCAGAGGGTGCTTTTAATTTTTTTGTGGTTTCACTCACATGTATCAATTTATTTTTTTCTTTTTTTTAAAGATTTATTTTATTTTTGCATACAAGAGATGGGGTGTAGGCCAGGGTCGAGACAGGAGAGGTCTGCTGCACCATGTGGGTCAGCTGCCTGGCCCGGTATCAAACTCCTGCTGCTGTGGCTGCCTATAGCTTCAAAGTGCTGAGACTTAACCCCTTGCACCACTAGGGAGGCCCTGTTTGTTTTCTTGTGTGTGTGTATTTTTTTTTCTTAAAATATTTACATATACACTAAAATGAAAGCAGGGTATTTGTGTTATTTACAGATGTGTTCCAGTATCTAGAACAATGCCTGGCACAATTTAGGTTTTTAATTAATACTTGTTGAATGAATGAATGAATGAAATTTTTATAATTTCTGAGTTATATGACCTGCCTTGGAAGGCCTTCATCCCAAGAGTTCCAAAAGGTAAACATATTTATCTTGAACACTTAAAAACATTAAATCTTTAATATATCTGGAAGTTATTTTTGGATTTGGTGTAGGAAAGGCCTAACAATTTTATCCATATGAAAGTCAGTTGTCCACAAACCATTTACTGAACAGTTCAATTTGACATCGTACCTTTATCATTCTAATCCCCCATGTATGTATTTATTCTTAAGCTCTCTTGCATTGTTCTATTTGTCTATTTCTGCATCAATATCATGGTTTTATTAACTGTTACTTTATAGTGTACTTTGATATCTAGAAGGCAAATTTTCTCTCCTTTTGTTTCAAGATTTTCTTGGCTAATAGTGTGCTACTTCCAGATTTACTTTAGAGTTCAACAGCATCATTCACAGACTGGTAAAATTGCATTATATTTATATAGTACTTGGGTAAGATTTGATATCGGTGTCATATTGAGACAACTCTTCCAGGAACAACTAATAGCTCTTCATTCATTTAGATTTGATAGAATTCTCCTAAATATCCTATGAACTTGTTACCATTTTGCAATAGATCTTTGGCAAACCTTTTTTTTCCTGTCATTATTGCTTTGGTCAGGTTTTCTTACCTATCTCTTGGAGTCAATTTTGAAAAAGCTTACTTTCCTAGGAAATTGTGCCTCTCATGGCTCATTGTATTTTCTATATTTTGGTAATAATTGTAGTATGTATACTTCCATCCCTTATTCCTTTGAGATTTTTCTTTTATCAGTTAGGATGATTTCGACTGGAAATAACAGGAAATGATGATTCAAATGGGCATAAACAATGAGGAAATGTATTATCTCACAAAACATGAGTCCAGAGACAAGGTGTCCCCATGATATCAAGACTCTGGGACACTTTTCTGGAATTTGCTGAGCACTGCCCCCCGGTTAGCAGTAGGATGATTTTAGAAGTTCTAAGCCTCCTACCCAGACAGTTAAAGAAGGAGGTTACCTACAGCTCCCTGGGCGATAGCTTCAAAATGCTGAGAACTTAAGCCCTTGTGCCACCAGGGAGACCCTAAACTTTGTTTTCTTAAGAGTGAGGAAATCTTTCTCTAGCAACCTGCCCATCATAGCATATTAGTGAGGACAGGGTGCCGTGCCTGTTCCTAAGTCAATCACGAGAAAGGGGAATAAAATTATATACCATTAACTGGCTTAGGTTAATCATTTCGAAGTGGAATGGTTGCTGGAGAGCCAACCTCCTTGACCACTATATATGTCTATCTCAGTTAGACTTGCCAAAGCTTTGCTTATTAATCTCATTACAGTTTTTGAGAATTGATCATGTCTGTCTTTTGGTTGTTTTCTAATGTCTTATTTCCTCTATTTAGTTTTACTGTATTATTCATTTTTTATAAACTTTGTTTTTATTTTATTTTTTTAAAAAGATTTATTTATTTTTGCTTACCAGAGGTGAGGGGTGTGGAGGGGTGAGAGAATTTACCAGAGAGGAGACAGAGTGGGGAGCAGAACAGGCAGAATGGCAGAAGTACACTGCTGAGGGGAGCAGCGGGCAAGACAGGAGAGGTCTGCTGCACCATGTGGGTTAGCTCCCTGGCTCATAGCTTCATAATGCTGAGACTTAAGCCCTTGTGCCACCAGGAAGGCCCTAAACTTTTGTTTTTAAACAAAATCACCAAACACTAATATTTCCTCTTACTTTGTGCGCCATTATTCGTTTCTAAACAAGCTATAACTTTTTTTTTTGTAAGTTAAGATTTATTTACAAGAGTGTTTTATTTTGCTTGTTTTGTGCCCAATGAAAATAAGCATTATCATTCATGTTATCTTCTGCTTTTATTGCCCAGTGATCAGTAAATGTGAACTGTATGATTTTTCTACCTGTGACTGTCTTTAAATGCATATGTGAAGAGAATGTGCTTTCATTTTTAAAGTTTTTATTTCCTAGGAAAGTAACACACACACACAATTTGAGTTGTCCAATAAAATACAATCAATATACAACAAGAAATAGCTGTTTCTTGGTTTTTTCCTTCCCTCATATCTCCTAGGTTCTGTTTCCAGAGGCAATCATTTCCATCCATTTTAACTACATCTTCTATTAATTTCCCTCCGTTCTGCCAAGTAATACCATATGTCATCACTTCTTCATTTTTCAGTGTTAGGTGTTACCCATTTGATTCCTACTATAGAATATAAGGACTATTTTTATTACACCACACTTACCTCCCACTTTCCTACCCAGTCTTCTCATTTAACTTTATCACAATTTTTTGACCACTGTTCGCTTCAGAGACAAATAATGTTCTCTGATTACATTTCCTTTTTAAACAACCTTTTTCCTTCTGGAGATAATAACTGCTTCACTTTTATCATTTGTTTTTCTATGTGCCTATTATTAGCTTTTCCAGAATTTCCAAAAACATTCTATAGCAACTTATTTCCTATTTACCATGGGGTGAAACACATTGTTTTTCTCTTTTCTCCTTTCTCCTTTCTCAGCAAGCATTCCCTCCTGGAATCCTCATGTTCTTGAATGCTAATTTGAATAGTTTGATTCTAGGTTCCTGACACAGCTGTTGTCCTTGGAATTTGCATCTTTTGCATTAAATACATGTTTCCTGATTCTTCTGTCTTCCTGTTTCTTGGTTTACCTCCTGACACAGCAGGAGCATGCCTGCTAGGGGGGTGCTGAGAAAGGTATATGGGTGGTATACCAGATGCTGTGTGCCCACCCCTTCCCTTCACTCCCCTGGGTTCACCTTTACTTACTGACTTGTTCCCTTTCCCCTGAGAATGAAACTAGGAGGGGGGAAATGAGTACCCTGGAAATACCTGTTAACCAAGTAGGAAATTGGCCCTAAGAGTTGAACTTCTCCTTAAATAGTTTTCAGCTATCCTCTTATTTTTAAAATCATCCCTGATCTATAAAATGTAGGTAGTTGTACCTAATTCTTCCAATTCCTGAACCTTTCCTGGGATCTTTCAGGAAAACTATCTTGTTTTCATTAGTATTCCCCTGTTCTGGGAAAATAAAGTCAATCCTCAATAACACAATTTTCTGTAACTACATGACCAAAATTTGTGGTCATCCCAGTGTTCCTTCATAGATATTAAACAAAATGTTGTTAAGTGGTTTGATGCTGAAGAGACATCTTTATACCTCTGTATTAATCAGACTTGTCAAAGATCTTCTATCTTTTCACAGAATTAGCTTTCGATTTTTTTTTTTTGATGAAATATTTTGTTTGTTGGGGGCCTCCCCTGTGGCGCAGCGGTTGAGCACCGGGTTGTGAAGCTGTCCGCAGCCTCTGCAGCTCCGGTTCGATCCCTGGCTGCTCCCCGGCCACGGGAGGAGGGTCCTGTTATAGGACAGGGAGAGGGGTAGCCCAAGCCCTGCAAACCTGCCTATTCTAAATGGGTTCTGCCATCCGCCGCATCAACACAAAACATAGGAGACTTTAATGGGAAGGAACTTTAATTAAACTAGGAAACAATACAGGTAAGGCAAAGAGTCTAGTTTCTAAATGAAGCACCCAAAGTTACCCGTCCCCTCGTGGGTAAAAGTCCATCCATATGGGATCGGCCCAGAACAAGGCCCCAAAGCCTGCTACAAGTCTAAAGCATCTTCCAGTGGGGACCCACAGCAAAGGGTCACAAACAACCGGACAAGCCCGGAAGGAAAAGAGCAAAATCAACATCAAGATAAAAGCTGCCATTGTCACCTCCCCACGGGTCTCACCCACATCTGTGTCACCCAGTCCACGACCAAAAGACAAGCGCAGTTTCTTTACGTGTCTCTAGGCTCCATGCGCCTCCTCCAGGTCTCCTGGCTCCATCCTGCTTCCTTCCTCAGTCTCTTCTGCTTCTCCTCTTCCTGCTCAGCTCCACCCTCCCTTGGGTGGGGCAGGGAACCTCCCCCTTTCCTGGGGACCACCCTGTTACAGTCCCACATGGTGCGCAGACCTCTCCTGCCGCCCGCTGCTCCCCTCAGCAGCGTACTTCGGTCCTTCTGCCTGCTCTGCTCCCTGCTCTGGCTCTGGTGAATTCTCTCACCCTCCCGTGCTTCTGACTGTACCCAGTGCTTGTATAAATAAATAAATAGTCTCACTCATAGCAGGAATCTAGAAAACTTAAATAAGGGACCAGGAAAATGAATAACTATAAGAAAGTGAAAATCAAAATCAACAAAAAACTATGAACCAGAGACACTCTATGGGGGGTAGAGGGTGGGAGGGGAGGGATTGGGGTCAAAATAAGGGGGTTGAATTGTATGGGGAATATAAAAATAAAATTTAAAAAAAAAAGAACTTCATATTTTTAATACAAATAAATGGTACCTTTTAAAATTAAAATAAATAAATAAATAAATAAATAAATCTTAAAAAAAAGAAATATTTTGTTTGTTTTCTATATTGCACATTGTTACTCTTCTATTTTTATAATTTTTGATGTTGAATAATATCCCATTTCTTTTTTTTTTTTTTGCATTGAAGAACTGGTGTGAAGGCCAGAGATGGGGGCGAGGTGGGGGTGAGAGGATTCACCAGAGACAGAGTAGGGAGCAGAACAGGCAAATCCACTGAAATATACTGCTGAGGGGAGCAGAGGGGAGACAGAGAGGCCTGCTGCACCGTATATGGGTTAGCTCCCTGGCTGGGGATTGGACTCAGGCGGTGGTGGTGTGCTGTGGCAGTGATAGCACTGAGACTTACCCCTAGGCCACCAGGGAGGCTCCAATAACCCATTTCTTATTTCTACTACTTTTCCATTTTTTAAAACAAAGGAATAGATAGATAGATAGATAGATAGATAGATAGATAGATAGATAGATAGATAGATAGATAGATAGAAACTCAACTGAGATACTCATCCTACCAGACTAGTCTCTTTGTTTGCTGTACTCCTATGTCCGCAGTAATTAAATATTCCTCACATATCTTCTTTTACTTTTGCTGAAAAGCATGATTTCATTTAAATTATCAACAAGATTACTTAAGACTTTTCATCAAACAGCTTGTAACATACATTTCTGTAACTATCCTATAGTCGAATAAATCAAACCTGCCAATTTATGATTTCCACAGTCAATGAAAATATTTATCTTTTAATACATCATGCTTCGGTATAAGTTCTAAGACTCTACTTAGACAAGATCTTGAAGAACTTCTCTTTTTCTAGAAGTTTTATAGTTTTACATTTTTGTGTATGTCCATGATCCATTTTGAGTTCATTTTTTATGAAGTGTGAGAACTGGGTTGAAGTTCCCTTTTTTTTTTCTCTTTCTTTTTTTCAAATCTGTTGAAAAAACTGCCTTTCTCAAGTTGAATTATCTTTGCAACTTTGTCGACAGTCAGTGGAGTATATTTGTGTGGGTCTATTTCTATTTCTATAGTCTATTCTAATAGTCTATGTGTCCATCCCTCCGCCAACACCACACAGTGTTGATTACTGTCGCTACATAGCAAGTTTTGAAATAAGGCAGATTGATTTATCCTACTTGATTCTTTTTCAAAATTAGTTATTTCAGGGCTCTCCCTGGCGGTGCAAGGGGTTAAGACACAACCTATGAAGCTATCCACAGCCACTGCAGCACAAGTTTGATCCCCAGCCAGGGAGCTACCTGCATGACACAGCAGACCTCTCCTGACTCGCCTGCTGCTCCCCACAGCAGTGCATTTCAGTCAGTCTGCCTGTTCTGTTCCCCACTCTGTCTCTGGCGAATCCTTTCACCCCCCACACCTCTGGCCTATACCCCAATTCTTCTATCCATAAATAAATAAATCTTTAAAAAAAAACAAATTAAGTTGTTTCAATTCCTTGTTTTTCCATATATATTGTAATGATAGTCTCTATTTCATATAAATATTGGTAATATATCTTCTCTTTTTTTCCTTTGACAGTCTTACTAGATAGAGATTTGTTAATTTTGTCAATCTTTTGAACAGAGATCAGTTTTCAAATACCCCAAACCCAGCAAAGATACAATACCAAGAGTGAAACCTAATGCAAACTATGGACTTCGGGTGATGATGTGTCAGTCAATGCAGGCTTGTTAATTGTAATAAGTGTACCACCCTGGTGGGATATGGGGGAGTTCAGTAGTCCCTTAAAGACCTGTCTAACCCCAAGATTCTGTGTTTTGGTGAAAGTTGGGATGGGGGTTCATCTATACACATTTCATTTTCTGAATTTGCACAAGGTTTGTCCTGGACCTGTCTTCCTCTTCTAAGTCTGCTGGGTCTTTCACTTCAGCTGCAAGACTTACTGCCTCATTGCCTCTCCCCACACCCATGTTCAACCCACCCCGGATTCCCTAGGGCCACTTGCACAAAAACATATGCTTTTCCGACAGTGGAAAATTTATTCTAAATGCTTATTTTAGATTGATAAATACTGCTTTCTGCTATCAGTGTCTCATGCTAACATGACTGCTCTGACCTGTGGTTTTGCATGACTGAAGGGTCATTGGACCCTCTGGGCCTTCAAGCAGCACGGCCTTCCTCACATCTGATGGCCGTCATGCCATCTCCATGTAACCAGCTGAGGGCATGGTGGGTGTTATTATAGGGAGGGAGAGGAATGTGGTTGTTATGAAAAGAGGCCCTGGTCCTGCCTTTGAGGAGACCTCACTCAAAAACACTCCATTGGAGGCAGGGACAGTGGCTCCCACAAGGCCAGCTAGAAGAGCTGAGGAGGTCCTGTGGCCTCCATATTGCCCCTATTCCTGAGTCTCCTCAGGTTTCTCCAGCTATCTGATGCCTCCTGTCTCTAATTTCCTCAGGATGGGTGGCTTGTGCTTTGACCATGAGTCTGAGCCCCAGGTTTGCTGCTGGATTCTCTGGGAACCGATTTTCTTTTCCCTTCTCCTCTTTCCCAGGGGACTCTCTCTACCTTGTACTCAGATTTCCAGTGAGATTGAATAGCCTTAGTTGTGCTGCAGAAACAGAGCTGAGAAGTGAACCTAGAGAAATTTGTATACAATGTATGTGGACTTTGGGTGCTTGGCACCTACAGGAGACTAATATGAATCTGATTTGGTGCCATTGCCAACCTTCTTACCATACCCCCCAAAACCCCCCTGACCCTGTCTTGCTCCAGTCTGGTCATTAGAGTCACACAAGACTTGGAACAGGAGCAGGCAGGACACTTGAATCCTCATTGTTACTCTCCCAGAGATTCTGGTAGCCTTCGAGCAGTTTCCTGCCTCCCGTCCCCAGCTGGAGCACTGACTTTTCACAGAGTGTTTAAGCCAATGGGAAATCAGACTATTCCATGCTTTTCAAGACCTCCTGAGCTCTACCAGGATTTCTTGAGCAAATGAAGGTATAACTCTTGGTGTTTTACATGGCTGGGTTTGGGCCATTTGAAAGCTGATCTCTATTCAAAAGATTGATAAAATTAACAAAGCTCCAGCAAGACGGCCAAAGGATGCAGATGATGTGGGAGCAACCTGGCCAAACCTGAATGATGAAAGCCAATCACAAAGTGGAAAATAGGCCCCAGATGTGGGGAGATGAGACAGTTAGATTTATTTCCTCTTTTCTAATTTGAGGGGTTTCATGTTGAAGACAATCAGTGTGTTAGAGGCTGCAGGAGAACAAACCACAGTCACCATGAAGCTGGGGTGTGTCCTTACAGCCAGTGCCTTCCACTTTTTTCTTCTTATGCTGTGGGCAGCCCATATATTTTTGGGTAAGTAAAATGTTTGAATGTTGGTGTGGGAGTGGAACTATTCCTGACTTTGAGGGAAGAAGCCAAAGGAGGGAAAAGTGGACATACCTTCAGTCTATCAAAGAGGCAAAGTTTCCAGGTAGGATATAAAGACAGAGAAAGTGTTTTGTGTACAGGATTGAATGGATCTTTCTGGATATTAAAATCTTCAAGCCTTTTCTATAATATAAGTCCCCTGAGTATGGTGTTCTCTTGAGTTACAATTCAACTCTTTGCTTCCTTTTCTCAGAAAAATTTCTGGAAAGAATATTCTGCTCTTACTATCTCCACCTCTTCGTTTCTCACTTGCTCCTCAATTCTCACAGTCTTGCTTCCCTGGAATTAGTGTTATCCAGGGTACAATAACCTCTAGCTACTGCATATTCTAATTCTCCTCCAACTGTCTCCAAATTTGGCTTATACTGCTACCTCTGCCTGAAACCACCATCTCCAAGGCTCCCTGGTCCCTCTCTCATACAAACCTCTAGGCATCCCAAAGACTTCTTTCTCTGTTGCCCACTTTTTCTCAGCATTCTCTGTTCCTCTGACTTCCTGTGCCATATCTCCTTGTATTTCACACACCTCTCCTGGTTCCTTTGGTGGCTTTTCTTCTCTTCCCCTTAAAGACTGGTGTTTTCTGCAGTTACATCCTTGCCTCCCTGCTCTCCTTTCTTTACACAGTCTTCTTAGTGAGCTTATTTTTCTGGGTAAGTTTTATCACTGCAACTCTATGTAAGTGTCCAAAATCATCTCTCCAATCCCAATCATGCTTTGGAGTTTCACCGGCTAATATGAAGCTTTGCACACACCTGCCAGCATACTTCACAGATGCCTCAGCACAATTACACCAGAGTTGAACTCATCTGTCCTACCTCTCCTAATTGCATCTTACACATTCTCTGATCTCAGTTAATGGCATACATCCAGACATCCAGGCCAAAGATTTGGGCGACAACCTATATTCTTCTCTCTCTGTCTTCTGCACATGATCCTTCAGTGAGTTTAGCAAAATTAGTCTTCTCAATTGTTCTTAGAGCCAGTCCCTTCCCAGAAACATAATTAGTGGCATCCTAGGACAAGGCCTCAGCATTTCAGATGTGGGCCCATCCAATAACCTCCTAACTAATCTCCCCATCTCAGTCTTTAAAGTAAATTTTGCATTCTGCAGCGAATGGTTTCAAGCATTTAAGCCCTTCAGTCCAGCTCCTGATCATGGCACACAAGACCCACCACAACCTGGTCTCTAACTGCTTCAGCCTCTATTTCCACCCTCTATACCTTATAATTTGTATTCTAATAAATCCCAACCAGCTTATACTTACACATTTATATATCAAACTCTTAACTGTCTCCAAAGTTGGCTTATACTGCTACCTTTTCCTGAAACCACCATCCCCACTGCTCCCTGATCCCTCTCTCATACAAACCTCTAGGCATCCCAAAGACTCAGCTTAGGTGGCTTCTTCACCAGAAAACTCTCCTTTCTGTTCTGATGGCTGCCTGTGAGGCCTCTTTCTTATTAGTTTCTTCTTCCTGATGAATAATCTCTTCATATACTTTTGTTGCCCAGAAACTGAATGCTATTTGTAGGCAGGGACAATGGTTTTTTTTTTTTTTCTTCAAATTTTTATTCTAGTTAATAATGTAGAAGAACTGGGGTGTATACCAGAGGTGCAGGGGTGGAGGATTCACCAGAGATAGAGTGGGGAGTACAACAGGTGGATCTGCTGAAATACACTGCTGAGGGGAGCAGTGGGCGAGACAGGAGAGGTCTGCTGTGCCTTGTGTGTCATCTCCCTGGCCAGGATCAAACTCATGCTGCAGTGGTGATAGTGCTGAGACTTAATCCCTAGGATACCAGCCTGTTTTTGTTTTTTAACCTTGTCTTATTGATCTTTGAATTCTCAGCACCTACACAACAATTTTATTGAATTGTGTTATTGAACTCATAGAAACAGCACTGGTATGGTGAGAACACTTGGCTTGGAATCAGATCCTCTGGTCTCAAGCCTCTCCTCTATTTATTAGTTGCCACTTTGAAAAGTCACTTTTTGTATCTCTGAATTCAGTTTTCTCAGACATAAAATGAGGATACTACCTACCACATATTTTATTGAGTGAAAGTGCCTGTCTGGTAGCCCAATGAGATTTTTGTTTTCAAAAAGAAGAGGATTTGAGTCCAGTGAAGTGCCAGTGGGGGAGCTGAAAGGGCAGCAGAATGGGGTGGGGAGCTGAGAGAAGGTCTCAAGAGAGCACCTGACCCTGAGGTCATGAAAATTAGGAAGTAGCGAGACCTTGCTAAGGTGAAGCTACAAGGTCAAGGAAGAGTATTGGTCAGTGAGAGAGGAAGGCACAAAGAAAAGAGGGGCAGGGAGGGACAAGAAAGGACACAGTGAAGGGTGAAGTCCATGTGGATGACCATGGAGTTAGAAGAGGGAGGGCGCAAAAGGGCAAGAAGTAGTTATCGAGATTGGATAACCGAGAAATAGTGCTTATCTGGCCTGGGTCAGTGATGGAGCTAACAACTATCACTAAGTCGAGCAGATGTGCTGAGAACCCATAACTCAAAGAAAGATTGTTCCACCATTACCAGTACCGACTGGGCCTAGAGGATCTGAGGTGGAGAGAAGGGCAGAGAAAGGGCTCTGCCACTGTGGGGAAAATTCAAGAGGCAGAGGACATCAAGGTGGAGATGGCTGACAACCAAAGGGCTGAGAGGTAGAGGAGAGACACAGGTAGGTATTGAAGGCTGGTGGGGGGACTCCCTTGCGGCACTAGGGGTTAAGTCTCAGCTCTATCAAGCTATCCGCAGCCACTGCAGCACAAGTTCAATCCCGGCCAGGGAGCTAACCCACACGGCACAGCAGACCTCTCCTGTCTTGCCCGCTGCTCCCCTCAGCAGTGTATTTCAGTAGATCCACCTGTTCTTCTCCCCACTCTGTCTGTTGTGAATCCTCTCACCCCCCCTACCCTGCACCTCTGGCCTGTACCCCAGTTCTTGACTAAATCTTTAAATTAAAAAAAAAAAAAAGAAAGCTACTAGGTAGGCAACATAATCAGGTAAAGAGTCAAGGATGAAGAGTCCAGTGAACTGGAGGAAGATGAGACCAGGAAGAAAGCCCCTAAGGCAGGTGTGAGGACTGAAGTAGATCGTGTCTGAGCAGTGAAGTAAAAATCCCACTGTGTGTAGACTCAGACACACCTGACTTTCTTGCTCCATCTTCTACTCTCTTTTTAAATGTTGGGTAAATTAATTTGCCTTCCTAAACCCAGGTCTTTAAGATTTATAAAATAGGGATGGAATCAGGTACTTAGAAATCTTCTGAAAATTAAATAAGATTATATGGGAAAGTGCCTGGCTGCGTCTGGTACAAGGGGAACACCCAGTGAATATGGCATCTGACGGCCTCCCTTCCCTTTCTGCCTGCTGTGTGCCTGCCCGGGGATCACAGTTGTCTCCAGCCTCCCATTTCCTGCACCAGAAGCTGGAGGTCATGCTGGTAAGTTCCCACCTTGTTCTTCTCCCCCCACCCCCCGCCCCTCTCCCACAGTCAATTCATTGAGAGCATCTGGAAGCCAGGGACTCCAGGTGAAAACTGGCCCTCTGAGAGATCCATAGGGGTGCCTTGCAAAAATAGGTTTGATATCTTCTGATTCTCACTCAAAAAAGAGAGGAAGGAGCCCTTGTGGAGGGTGATTTCTTGTCCTCCATTGTAGGCAGGGAACACTGGGGAAGGCTGGTTCCAGGCAGAGGTAGGTAGCAGTATAAGCCACCTGGTTCTTCTTGGACCTGCTCTCCGCAGCTGCCTGCTTTGAGACACTGCAGCGCGAGGGACCTGCCGGTGCCCAGGACAGTGGCTGCCACATCGAGGACGACTTGACTGACCCAAGGGACGTGGACTTCCATTTCAGGGGCTACACCTTTAGTGAGCCCTTCCACCTGATTGTATCCTACGGTAGGACTGACAAGAGTGGGGCTGCACTTCCGTTTCCAAACTTCTCCTCACAGCAGGGCACCCTCAGGACACTGGGGGGTGGGGTGTGGGACACCTTCTTCCCATCTGAAGCCAGCGTGTCCTCAGTTCCAGGCTTTAGAGAAGTTACTCCATACTCGCAACCTGGGAGGACAGTTGCCTGAACCCTTAGAAAGTTTTGGAGGGGGCCTCCCTGGTAGCACAAGGGGTTAAGAACAGCACTGTGAAGCTATCTGCAGCCACTGCAGCATGAGTTCGATCCCTACCGGCCAGGTAGCTACTCACATGGTGCAGCAGACCTCTCCTGACTCGCCTGCTGCTCCCCTGAGCAGTGTATTTCAGTCAATCTGTCTGTTCTGTTCCCAACTCTGTCTCTGGTGAATCCTCTCACCCCCTGCACCTCTGGCCTGTACCCTAGCTCTTGTATGCATAAATAAATAAATCTTAAAAAAAAAAAAGAAAGCTTTGGAGGGCCTGCTGTGGGCAGCACTGGGGGTGCTCCCAAGGGAGGTAGAGGGTAACAATCAGCTCTTGCTTTGGACCACAGACTGGCTGATCCTCCGAAGTCCAGCCCTGCCCATATTTGAAGGGGACCCGCTGATTCTATACTGCCAGGCCTGGCAAGACTGGCCACTGACCCAGATTACCTTCTACCGAGATGGCTCAGCCTTGGGTCCCCCTGGACCTCACAGGGAGTTCTCCATCGCCGTGGCACAAGAGGGAGACAGTGGATACTACCACTGCAGTGGTGTCTTCAAAAGCCCTGGTCCTGGGAGTCCAGAAACGGCCTCTTCTGTGGCTATCACCATCCAAGGTGAGGGTGAGGTACAGTGTCATTGTGGCCAGAAGTGGGGGGAGAAACAGAAAGCCCCAGATCTTCTTCCTTTGTCCTGGTGGTGGTGTGGTCACTGAAGGCCTAAGGGCCAGCTTGCTGGCATATGCCCAGTAGGGCTCCAGGAGGGTAGCACCTCAGCATTATCTATCCAGGCCCCACAGCCCCCTTCAGTGGGGGATAACCTCTCAAACATGGAGTCCCACGTATTTCCCACCGCCCACATCTGTTTCCTTGTGGTCGCAGATGGGGTGTCTAGACTATGGTGAGATCTGCCGATGTCTGCTTGGCGGGGTTATCTCTAGACTGCTCTGCTTGAAGAGGAGAGAAGTTGAAAGGTCCAAATGGAACTTTTCTTTTTTTCGTTTTTGTTTTTGTTTTTAAACAATCTAGTTATTTATTTTTTTTTAATTAATATTTTATTTTATATAATCCTTGCATCATTTTTCATTTTTGCACAATGTATGCATTTTCATTTTGGTTATATTCCTCATACAACTGTACCCCCCCCTTATTTGGACACTAGTCCTTCCTCTCCCCTTCCCTCCTCTCACCCCTGCCGTAGTGTGTCTCTGGTTCATAGTTGCTTGTTGATTTTGATTTTTACTTTGTATTCATTGGTCTTTTTTCCTGGTCCCTTATTTAGGTTTTTCTAAATTCCTGCTATGAGTGAGACCATCCGGTATTTTTCTTTTTCTTTCTGGCTTATTTCGCTGAGCATGATCCCTTCCAGCGCCATCCATGTTGCTGCAAATTGCATGTGTTTATCTTTTTGAATGCTGAGTAATATTCCATGGTGTATATGTACCACATCTTCTTGATCCAGTCATCTATTTTTGGGCATTTGGGTTGATTCCAAAGCTTAGCTATTGTAAACAGTGCTGCTATAAACATAGGGGTGCAGGTGTCCTTTGGACCAAATGGAACTTTTCTAAGAGGGCTCTCCCTGATGGGAAGCAAGAGCAGAAATGCCAGGGACTCCTTGCCTGTTATGGGTCCACCTGAACCTGGGAGACTGAGCTCTCCCTCTGGCCTTGCTCTTCTCCAGAACTGTTTCCGGCCCCAGTTCTCAGAGCCACGCCTTCAGCGGAGCCCACAGAAGGAGGCCTGGTGACCCTGAGCTGTCAGACAAAGCTGTCCCCTCAGAGGTCAGCTCTCCGCCTCTACTTCTCCTTCTACAAGGACGGCAAGATGGTGCGTGGCCGTGACCTTTCCTCAGAATTCCAGATTCCCACTACATCTGGGGCACACTTGGGGTCCTACTGGTGTGAGGCAGCCACCGAGGACAGCCATGTGTGGAAACAGAGTCCCGAGCTGGAGCTCAGGGTGCAGGGTGAGTGTGCCTTGTGTCTGTTTGTTGTGTGTTTGAAAAGGGGGAGGAGGGTGAGTGGGCCCGAGTTGGGGTCAGCGTCAGTGCTTAAGAAAGCACAGGGCCTCCCCGGTGGCGCAGCGGTTGAGCGCTGGGTTGCGAAGCTGCCCACAGCCTCTGCAGCGCTGGGTCGATCCCCGGCTGCTCCACGGCCACCAGAGGAGGGTCCCACATGGCGCGCAGACCTCTCCTGCTGCCCGCTGCTCCCCTCAGCAGTGTACTTCGGTCCTTCTGCCTGCTCTGCTCCCCGCTCTGGCTCTGGTGAATTCTCTCACCCTCCCGCGCTTCTGACTGTACCCAGTGCTTGTATAAATAAATAAATAAATCTTAAAAAAAAAATTAAAAAAAAAAAAAAAAAGAAAGGGCACAGAGGAGGAAGGAACAGTCAAGCAGAGTTCCTGGTGGTAGAAGAGCACAAAAAGGGAACTTCTTCAGACCACAGGGCACACCTCACCAAACCACCTCTAGGCTGGCCTGGAGACCTCACATTCTTTTTTTTTTTTTTTTCCCTTATTATTATTTATTTTTTATTGCTATAACATTGGTTTATTTTTTTATTAAGTTTTTTACATCATTGTTCTTTTTTTTTTTAAGATTTGTTTATTTATACAAGAACTGGGGTACAGGCCAGATGCGCAGGAGGGTGAGAGGATTCACCAGAGAAAGAGCGGGGAACAGAACAGGCAGATTGACTGAAATACATTGCTGAGGGGAGCAGTGGGCGCAACAGGAGGGTCTGCTGCGCCATGTGGGATTCTCTCTGGCCCACAGGGATCGAACCCGTGCTGCAGAGGCTGTGGACAGATTCACAGTGTGGTGCCCAACCATCTGTGCCACCAGGGAGGTCCTCATTGTTCATTTTTAAGCAATATTTGCTTCCCCCCACCCATAGACCTCACATTCTTTTATGAACTCTGGTGTTTGTAGGGAGATGGTCTCTAGAATGAGGACATGGTATTGTGGAATCAGTGTTCAATTCTGGGAACCCCCATTCAGAAGGCTGAACTTGACCTGAAATATACCCAGAGGAGAAATCTGGGCTATGAAGCCATGTTGTAAAAAAGAAAAAAATGGAAGGGACAGGAGAGGCTCATCCTCAAGGGGATAACAAGGGTGTCATCCAAGTCTAAAGACTGAGACAAGGAGGAGTCCCCGCAACATCGCAGCAACACTATATACAGTACAGAGGCTGCCTTAGCACACATCCACCATGTCCATGCTCAGGGAATTTGATTCTACCTTAAGGGAAGAAGGACCGGTCAATATCCATAGCATCATGACAAAGGCCCCATTGCTGAAGATATTCAAGCAGAGGCGACCAAGCTCCAGATTCAAAATTGGACAGGAGTACACTGTGTCCCCAAGTTTCTGCTTGGGACCCACAATTACTTTCAGAGAACATGAAAAGTTGACCAGGGCTATGAGCATAGGGTGAGGGCCAGACTTCACTCTCACATGTGTCTCCTGCCCCACCATCCAGGTCCCTCCAAATCTGCTGCACCCTCCAGCTTGAATCCAGCTTCCCAGGAATCAGCTGCTCCAAAAGCCACTCCTCCAGAGCCCCCCAACTCTCTGCCTCCACCATCTGTCCCTTCCTCTGAGGACCCAAGCTTCTCTTCTCCCCTGCAAGTGCCAGACCCCCACCTGTACCACCAGATGGGTGTTCTTCTCAAAGAGATGCAGGATGTAAGAGTTCTCCTGGGCTACCTGGTGAAGGAGCTGAGGACCCTGTCCCATCGCCTGAAGTTGGAGTCCCCAGAGAGTCCTGCCAAGGAAATGTAAAAGATTCTCAATACCCCCAATAAATCTGACTCTTTCACACATTTCCCCAGCCTTAATCAGGCCAGACAAGATAGCTAATATTTTCAGTACTGAAGCACCGTCATTTAATTTGATTTACTTGCCAAGTACCCTGCAAGGTGCCATAAGGAAAAAAGAAGATAAATTTAATGTGGTCTCTAATCTCAAAGAAAGGTAAGTGGACATTTGTAAAGAAGACCTGGCCTCCTACAGATAAATAGTTGGAAAAGGAAGGAAGATTTTAAGAACCTTTCATTTAGTTGTAGCTATGCTTCTTTGATTCTACATCAAACTTGCAAGGGGTGGTTTTTTAAAGATGAGTTGCAAAATGGAATCTGAAACCATATCAATAATTGTTTTTTATTGTTACAGTGAAATTTATCAGTCCTTCCTGTACTTTTCATGGATCTTTCACCCATGTGTTGATCATTGAAAATATTGGCTCACAAAGTTATATAAATTTTTCAAAGGTAGATACCATTTCATGTACATATTTTAAAAATCACATTCACTATCACCACACAAGTCTTTGTTTACTGGGAAACTGTCAATTCATGATGATGAATACAAATCTCCCAAAATTCTAATTTTCATTTGAAAGCTTGAATTTTATCATTGGCCTTATTACTGTTGGATATTTTTCTGAAAGGGACAGACTCACTTTTCAGAAAATGTATGCCATATACCTAAATCTCAGTGACCAGTGTTTCAGTCATTCATTCAATTAAAAATGAATTCTACGAAAAGGCTTCAATCCAGAACTCAAAACAATTGTGCAAGCTCTCTCCCTGGAGATGGTTCTTTCACTTCAGTCCGGGGCAGGAGTATGTGCTTACCATATCATCACCCAGAATATTAAGAAGATGTATATATCAGCTCAGAGTTTAACAAAATTAGATTTTCATTTACCATGTCATTGAGGGTTTACGTGTATGCATTGTTTTGTTTTGTTTTACTGTGAGTATATGAAGATAAATAATATCCTTCGGTGTCATTGCCTTAAACTGTGCAGACGGGCCTCCCCTATGGTGCATCAGGTTGAGCACAGCACTGTGAAGCTGTCCGCAGCCTCTGTAGCATGTGTTTGATTCCTGGCTGGCCAGGGAGATTCTCATGTGGCGCAGCATACCTCTTCTGTCTAGCCCGCTGCTCCCCTCAGCAGTGCCTTCGGTCGGTCTGCCCGTTCTGCTCCCCACTCTGTCTCTGGTGAATTCTCTCACCCTCCCATGCATCTGGCCTATACCCCAGTTCTGTATAAATAAATAAATCTTTAAAAAAAATAAACTGTGCAGCTTCTTTATCCCCATTGCTTTTAGTATCGATGCAAATGTCAACCCAGTGAAGGAAGGCAAATAACCACTTAGTGCTGCTATAAAAGGAGTTTTGACTTTGCAGACCTCCTGAATGGGTCACGAGACTCCCCAGGGATCCACAGAATAAACTTTAAGAGTTATTGGACGAGCTCATTGTTCAAGCCCCTCATATCTTGTCCAGACATTATGTCATGCATGATAGGCTGCGAAGACTAGCTCAGGTAACAAATAATTGCTACATTTGTCTGCCTGGTAAAAGGGGTGAAGAATTAGAAATTCTGTGGGGGAAAAGTCCTGGATGAAGAAAAATATTCCACTTGGCCTAAAATAGAGGAATATTGTCGGGCTCTTCACACCAAATTCTGAACACTGTGTGATAAGAAGTCTAATCCTGGAGATTATCAGGTAAGACGGTACTCCTCAGGAATTTCTGGTGGAATCGCATTTCTGTGAAATCTGGTGAAGAGGCTAAGATCCCAGGGTCAGAGTGATGAGTCAGCTTGTGGAGACTGAGGAACAGCCCTCGTGCGAGATGCTTTCTTGTGGTGGTGGTGACCTGGTCACCAGTCAGACTGTGGGGCAGACCTTGGAGAATGTGTGAGGAAGTGGGGGCCCACCTCAGGCAGGGATGTCTATCTTTCTCCAGTATCTACCTCTCCTCTCCATACCTGAACATCTCATCAAACTTCTCCCTATTTCTCAGGCCCACACAACTCTCTCTTTTTTTACCAAAACCTGCTTTCAAAGCAGGACCTGAAATGGCCAGGAACATTGGGATGACCAAACCCTTTTCTAAGGGGCACTTGCATTTTTAACCTGGACCAGCACAGTAGCAAAATAAGTGGGTCCTTGGGCTGCAGCCTTGGGTAGCTGCAAGCAGAGGGGGAAGAGGCTGTCTCAGAGGGTTGACAGTGTCTGACAGTCCATCTCCTTCTCGCCCAAGTCCAAGGGAAAGAGGTACCCAGGATTAAGCAGCCATGGTGAGGACAGGAGACTGGCCAGAGAGACATACTATCGGGTTGGAAAATTCATTAAGTATTTACATGAGAATTCAGGCTCCTCATCGCTCAGGGTTGGGTCACATGGCTCGGAAAGCACAAAAATCGTGACCAGGAGGGAGGTGTCTGATGGGAGAAGCTTCTGAGGGACTGAAGCAGTTACTTTGCTGCCACAGGTGAGGAGTCCCAGAACTGGGGTGCAGTTAGGAGGGGTCTCGTAGTGGGTAGAGAAAAGAAGAAAGGCACCAGGGAGTGGAGATACACAGGTTGCAATCATTGACGTGGACAGGAAAGAAGAGTTTTCTAATTTCTGAGGGGTTAAGGTTTCAGGAAAGGAGAAAGGAGAAATATATTACATTTCTGTTCTTGCCTGGGATGCTGATACAGTGATATACAGGCGGCTGGTGATTTAGGCCTTTCTGTCTACCCATCTGTGGGAAGAGGCGAACTCTGCAAGAGGGACCCTAATGTCAACCTCACTTGGCCTCACACCAGTGTCTCTCAGAGGAAGCACACAGAAGAAAGGCCCGGGTGGCTCCTGAGGACATGAGGATATGTCTTCCTCCACTGACCTTACATGGCTGGCTGGGAGGGAGGTTGGGTGGGCTTGGGGTGTCATGGGACCCTGAAGGTAGCAGGGTTACCTGCCAAAACTTGGGGTTCTACATTGGCTTTCTTGGGCTGCAGAGGGCACAGGTTCTACAGGAGTTTAACTGGCTTGAGATGTGAGGTAGGGGCAGCAGGTGAGACAGAGCCTAGTGCTCAGGACACCCAGGGCTGACACACAAGCAGCCTTCAATCCTCAGGATTCAGGGATGGGCAGGAGAAGCAGGAAGGTCTCCTTGTACTCAGAGGTCAGCACCTGCAACCTCCTCTCTCCCCATCTCATGCCAGCACCTCCCCATCCTTCCGCAGCTGCTGCAGCAGGTCCATCATGTGGGTTTTGACCACCCTACTGCTCCTGGGTGAGTCCTTGATGAGGCATCGGCATGAGGACTTGGGTGTGGGGCAGGGGTGTGTGTGTTGGGGATATTCAATCCTTCATTCCAAACAGTTCCTTATCTATTTCCGGAGGTGTAAAGAGGAGGGGGATTTCTCAGTGCTGGGGAAATTAGAGGCTTTGAGACCAGTGGATTGTCCCCCAAGGTCAAGAATGTCCCTTTCTCCTCTCTCCTAGCCAATAGTCTTCTACTTCTCTGTTATTATTATTATCATTATCATTATTATTACTTTGCAGTTCCAAGCAGTGGACAAGCTGGTGAGTCCTCACATCCCTCACCCCTATTTTCTATAACTCTCACCTTCCCCTCCCCTGACCTGTGTTTGTACATGCCACTCTCAGCTGTTCTGGGAGTCTGTCTCCCATTCATCCGCAATCCCGTGACTCAGTTTATCTAATGGGTGCGGGTGAGGCTATTAGCCCCGTCAACCTGGACTCTCCTATGGGGAGTGGTCAGGAGTGTGGGCTAAGACTGGGAAGTTGGCATTTTCTGAGATTTCCCAACCTCACATGACATCTTTGGGCCCCTCACCTTGATTTCTGTTTCCACATTGCTCCTTCCCAACAACCCCAGCTACTCTGGAGAAGCCCATATTGTCTCTGCACCCACCCTGGACAACCATCTTCAAGGGGGAGCGGGTAACCCTGCGGTGTGATGGGTACCACCCCCTGCTCCTGGAGCTCCGGCCCATCAGCACCCTCTGGTATTTGGGTCACCTCCCCCTGCCCTCCTACAAGAAGAGCATTGAGGTCCAGACCCCAGGAGTGTATCGATGTCAGACACGGGGAGCACCAGTCAGCGACCCCATCCACATCTCGGTATCCAATGGTGAGTATCTGGCCACGCCTGCTCTGGAGATGCTGTCCTCCTGCGGGAGAGGGCACCGCATGTCCATTATGGCAGGAATGGGGGCCATCCAGCCACTGGAGCAGGCAGGGGCCAGCGTGGCACATGTGAGAGATGCAATGACACTTGCTTGAAAGGTCCCCTCACCCTCCTGCCACAGTGGATTATAAATAGCTTTTGTCTGTTTATGAGACAAGTTCAGAAGAGCAGAGGTTCTGAGGAACTGGGGCTGGGCAGAGAAGGGGGTTTAAAAGGGGGCTGGGATGGGAAAGGGCAGAGCAAAGCAGGAAAAGAGGTCCCCAGGCTAGCTGCATGAAGGTGGGGGAGGATTTATTCCTGTTCTAACAGTGTGATACTTCTAAGTGCCTCCCTGCAGTAAACTAGGGACAACAATAGAATCTATCTCTTTGGTTGTTATGAAGACTATAAAGGAATTACAACATGCTGTTCGAGAAAAAAGCAGCAATTGAACAAAGCACTTAAATCAAAATGTTATTACAGATATGTACACATATGTACATACATAGAAGTCAATTAAGAAACTGACCCCTAGGGATTCTTAAAGGGTTTCAAAATAGAGTAAGAAATAAATAATTCGTTGACTGTGCTTGTGTGTAGGCCGTGTTATATTAGTTAGGTTAGGTTAGGTTGGGTTAGCTTAGCCTGGTAGGCCACAACTTACATGCAAATTTAAAGGACCTCACTGAGGATTCAGATTAGTACACACAGACACTGCATATTCATGCCCTGTGGCTTATTTGGAAATTGTCAGTGAGTATAGTTAAGATACTAACCATAGCAAATAGTGGTTATGCTCACAAAACTGAGAGTCGTAAATTGAGGCTGTTGCTTGTAAAATTCTTTCTCGATTTAAATAAAATGCCTAAAACCCGCCATGCCAGGGCTATGTAAGTGTCAGCTAAGATGAAGGTGATGCAGTTATACTGGGTGCTGTGGGAGGTTTCTAAGGCTGTCCTGGGGGCTCAGGAGAGTTATGGGGAGGAGATAAGGTCTAAGGAAGCCAAGTAGACCTCAACTAAAATGGGCAAAGGGACACAGCAGGTACAGAGCCTCTGGGCTCAGAACAGCGTGGGGGCCTATCCCAAATCCAGTGTGACTGGACTTGGTCAGCATTGGGATTGGGAGGTGGGAAGGGTGAAGGGGAAATGAGTGGTTGGGAAGGATACTAACATGATGCTAAAGAGGTCAGCAGGGAGCAGGTCAGGAAGGCCCTTTTGCCATTTTAGGGAGTTTACTCTTGATCCTGGTGGGCATTATTCTTTAACCCTGAAGCGGAGTCTCCGGCATCTTTGGTCTCTAAAGAAAGTCCTGTCTGAGGTGCCTGTCACCCAGTGACAGGGTAGAGGGAGAGCCTCTGGGGTGGGGGTGGAGGGAAGCCTAGAAAAATGGAGGACTCCCCCCACCCCACCCCCAACTCCCCAGGGCGGGAGGTTCTTTTGAAGTCAGGTCTGTCTGTGGTGACTGTCGCAGACTGGCTCATCCTGCAAGTGCCCTACGCCGCGGTGTTCGAGGGCGAACCCCTGGTCTTGCGCTGCCGCGGCTGGTACGACAAGGCTGTCTACAAGCTCCATTATTACCACGACGGGCAGGCGGTTCGTTACTTCCACTCCAGCGCCAATTACACCGTCCCGCAGGCGCGAGCCAGCGACAGTGGACGCTACCAGTGCTCGGGCACCATGCGCATCCCAGTGGAGAGCGCGCCCCTGTTCTCCGCCAAGGTGGCCGTGACCGTGCAAGGTGGGCAAACCTGGGGCCCGGGAGGGAGGAGACCGAGCACTGGGAGGGGGGCGTAAGTTCAAGAAGCTGCCAGGAGGCGGATTTCTGTGCTACACCCTGGACGCTTTGTCCTCTTCTCCGCAGAGAAGGCGTCCTGATCTGCAGCCTGCCTGGGGTGTCCCCACATATGCACCCTGGCTTCTCACTCAGAGTGGGGACCCCATACAGAAAGCGACTCTGTTCAGAACCCCAGTCAGAACGAAGTGGTAGTGTTATAGGACAGGGAGAGGGGCAGCCCAGACCCCGCAAACCTGCCTATTTTAAATGGGCTCTGCCATCCGCCGCATCAACACAAAATACATGAGACTTTAATGGGAAGGAACTTTAATACAATTAGGAAACAATACAGGAAAGGCAAAGAATCTAGTTTCTAAATCAAGCACCCAAAGTTACCCATCCCCTTGTGGGTAAAAGTCCATCCATATGGGATCGGCCCAGAGCAAGGCCCCAAAGCCTGCCCCAAGTCTAAAGCATCTTCCAGTGGGGACCCACAGAAAAGGGTCACAAACAACCGGACAAGCCGGCAAGGAAAAGAGCAAAATCAACATCAAGATAAAAGCTGCCATTGTCACCTCCCCATGGGTATCACCCACATCTGTGTCACCCAGTCCACGACCAAAAGACAAGCGCAGTTTCTTCACGTGTCTCTAGGCTCCATGCGCCTCCTCCAGGTCTCCTTCTGGCTCCATCCTGCTCCTTCCTTCCTCAGTCTCCTCTGCAGCTTCTTCTCTCCCTGCTCAGCTCCACCCTCCCTTGGGTGGGGCAGGGAACCTCCCCCTTTCCTGGGGACCACCCTGGTACAGTAGTGGTACATATCGCTGCGGGGCTGGGGTCAGGAACAGCACAGCGACCCCTTCTAGGCTGGAGACCCGAACCCTAAGGGTGTGACCTGAAGCGTCCAGACTGGTACCGCCTCCTTTCAAGTCTTTCAAGTTTCCCGGTCCTTTGTGGACTCAGTCCTTCGGGGACACATTTCTGAAGGCGGTACCCCCTCCCTCCACGCGTGCGCACCGACTCCTCTCACTTGCCCATGGGCTCCTGGACCACAGGGAGCCCCCGCGCGTGACCCGAGGGAGAGAGGGGTAGCCCCAGGACCCTGCCGCCGGCCGCGCGCGCATCCTCAGCTCGAGTCCCTCTCCCCAGAACTCTTCCAGGTTCCGGTGCTGCGGGTGTTGGGCCCGGCGCCAGCCCGTGGCGCGGCAGGAGGCGGCGTGGTCCTGCGCTGCGACACGCACCTGCACCCGCAGAAGCGCGACACGCCGCTGCAGTTCGCCTTCTACAAGTACAGCCGCCCGGTGCGCCGCTTCGATTGGGGCGCCGAGTACACGGTCCCCGAGCTAGAGCACGATGAGCTGGAGTCCTACTGGTGCGAGGCGGCCACCTCCACCCGCAGCGTCCGTAAGCGCAGTCCATGGCTGCAGCTCCCAGGCCCCGGTGAGTGCGCCCAGCCCTCCTGGGGGTTCCAACCCGCAGCAGCCGCCTCTGGGCACGCCTGCTCCTGTCCCCTACTTTTGCTCTTCGCCTCTCTCTATCCCCGCCCTCCGCAGCCCGCCATACCCCCTCCTCGTCTGCCCCCCACCCCCTCCTTACCCCTTCCTCCTCCTGGCCCTCTGCTATCTCCCCTCACCGGCTCTGCACACCCCTCTCTCCAAACCGTGGGAGAACAATTCTAGCCTCGTGCTCGGTGTGTTGCATTCACAGCTTCTCCTCTGGGCTCGACCACCCCCGCCCCAGCACCACAGGCAGCCGCCTTGGCCCCTGGCAGCAAGCCTCTTTCCTTCAGAAAGCCCCCGGTGTCCACATCGGTGCCGTCGGTCATCTCCCTTCCAAACACCACCTCGGCTGGGCTGCATTTCCCTGCGGCTGGCAGAGCCCCCACAGCTGGGCCACCTGCCTGCGCAGCGACAACTTCCTTGGGACAGTCGCCAGGAGTCCTGAAATCCAACGTGGACCTTCTGCTTCGGGAAATGCAATTGCTCAGAAGCCTTTTGACCCGAGTGGTCCTGGAATTAAAGGATCCACAGGCCTTCCCAGAGCTCAGGGGAACACTCCAGACCCCCACTTCCCACTTTGCTGTGAGCCTGGGATCCCTGGGGACCACTAAGGTGGAGACCTGAGCCTGGGGGCTGCAGCCTCTTAACCCCACCCACCACCCCCAGGTCTGTTCATTCCTGGTCTCTCCACTTCTCCGTCACTCTGCTACCTCCAAGCCACTTCTGTTTGTCCCTTTGTTTTGCTTTGCTTTAAAGAATCGAGGATAAAGTGAGGTGGCTGCTCATTTCAATCTGGAAGAGCACCTGTGAGCAGTTTGTAATTACACCATCTTCCCTGCCAGTTTTTCCCCTCACAGAACTCAATAAGGAAGTAAAAACCTGGTATTGACTACTTTGAGTTTTATGTTTGGGGTTGAATTCAGTCATTCTAGCTCTTATCAGTACATATTTCAACAGAGCAAGCTTTGGGTACTTAAGGTCCTTGAGTAACTGGGCACTTGGGGACATTTTAGCATCAGGCAGTAATTATTCACAATGAAATTAATATTAATTTTTAAAAGGACTTTCACTTCATCACTGATCCTGGAATTAAATGACTTTATATCCTCAAAGTCCTGGATTCTACTTAGTTTTAGGGAGGAAAGATATTTGTCCATCTTGGTTAGAAGACAAAGTTGGTTAGATGCACTTCCTGCACCAAAGTAGCTGGGTGGACTGATGGGGGGCAGCAGCAGGCAGGCCACACCATAACCATAAGTTAGCTAAGTAGTACCACTTCTGTTTTTTTTTTTAAAGATTTATTTTTATTTATTTATACAAGCACTGGGTATAGTCAGAAGTGTGGGAGGGTGGGAGAATTCACCAGAGCCAGAGCGGGGAGCAGAGCAGGCAGAAGGACTGAAGTACACTGCTGAGGGGAGCAGCGGGCGGCAGGAGAGGTCTGCGCGCCATGTGGGACCCTCCTCTGGTGGCCAGGGAGCAGCCGGGGATCGAACAGGCGCGCCAGAGGCTGTGGGCAGCTTCGCAACCCAGCGCTTCAACCGCTGCGCCACTGGGGAAGCCCAGTACCACTTCTCTTGTGAAATCTTTTTGAAGAAAGCTGAAGATAAATCCTCAATACTGCTGAATTCTATATTTGAGCAATTCTTACTTTACTTCCCTAAGGAAATTATGTTACAGGGCAGGGAGAGGGGCAGCCCAGACCCCGCAAACCTGCCTATTCTAAATGGGTTCTGCCATCTGCCGCATCAACACAAAACATATGAGACTTTTATGGGAAGGAACTTTAATACAATTAGGAAAAAATACAGGAAAGACAAAGAATATATTTTCTAAATCAAGCACCCAAAGTTACCCATCCCCTCGTGAGTAGAAGTCCATCCAAATGGGATTAGCTCAGAGCAAGACCCCAAAGCCTGCCACATGTCTAAAGCATCTTCCAGTGGGGACCCACAGAAAAGGATCAGAAATAACCAGACAAGTCTGGAAGGAAAGGAGCAAAATCAAGACGAAAACCACCATTGTCACCTCCCCACGGGTCCACCCACATCTGTGGCACCCAGTCCACGACCAAAAGGCAAGCACAGTTTCTTCACATGTCTTTCTGCTCCATGTGCCTCCTCCAGGTCTCCTCCTGGCTCTCCATCCTGCTTCCTTCCTCAGTCTCCTCTCCAGCTTCTTCTTTCCCTGCTCAGCTCCACCCTGCATTTGGGTGGGACAGGGAACCTGGAACTTCCTCCTTTCCTGGGGACCACCCTGTTACAATCACACCTAGACACATATACACTTTAACACATCTGCTCTGATCATATCCCATGCTCATGGTGACTTTACTGTCACCTGAAAGGGAAAAAAAGCCAGAGGCCATTCCTCTGCACTTCCTGGGGCACGCTCCCTGCAAAAGCCGTTTTCTCAAGTCCTCCACTGCCAACTAGAGCCTTTGGTTCTCTGCAGTGCAGGCATGTCTTGCTGTCAAAAAGTCTCCTTCTCATTGGGTCTATTCCCTTCATTAAGAGGCAGAGGGGAAATTTCCCCCTCTCTCTCTGGGTTCTTCTGGTCTGATTGAACCATCAAATTAACATTAGACAGATTTGTAGGATAAAAGAGCAAATTTAATTACATGCATATAGAGAATCTACATGGACAAAAATTCTAAAATGGGTCAAAATGAGGGATTTGTCCTGAGATAAGGAATGGGATGGGGCCCGGGGCTTCAAGAAGGAAGGAGGAGGCTGCACATGTCCACAAAAATCAGATGCTCTGTAATTACATGTTTGCCCAGCCATATAGATAGGTGTTTCCCATTGGTTATTTCTGGAGATAACCCTAAATCCGGGTAACACCCCTTATTTTTATTTTTTAAAGAATATTTTTTTATTTACTTATGCACACAAGAGTTGGGGTGTAGGCCAGAGGTGCAGGTGGGAGGTGGTGGTGAGAGGATTCACCAGAGACAGAGTGGGGAGCAGAATAGGCAGATCTACTTTTCTACACTGCTGAGGGAAGCAGCAGGCGAGACAGGAGAGGTGGGTTAACACCATGTGGGTTAGCTTCCTGGCTGGGGATTGAACTTTTCCTGCAATGGCTGGTGATAGCTTCATAGTACTGAGATTTAACCACTTGTGCCACCAGGGGGGCCACCCCTAGTTTTTAATCTTCTATGTAGTTTAAGGTTTCTCTTGAGCCTGCCGAGTATCAAATGACCTTAGTTCAGAATAATCAACATGCCGAAGTGACAGGAAGACCTGTTGTGAACATCTTGGGGAGGCTTAGTCTTGACCATTAAGGTTTAGAACCAAGAACCACTCTATCCTCCATCCTATCTTCTACTTGAAATTCAGCCACAACCTAATTTCCCATTTCTTTTTGAGTGATTAGCCAGAATAACTTCAGATCCTTGATCATCTACTCAGTGTTATCGCCACCATGTTGTTATTACTAAGTCACAGAAATTACATCTGGAGAGAGGCAGGCAGGTGCACACATAAATTACAAGGCAATGTGATTAGTGCTTTAGAGCACTATGGGAATTCAGGAGCTAAATCTTGAAGAATGTGCAAGAATTCACCATGTGGACATGTGAACATGTGAGGATACAAAAGCAAGGAGGCTGAAAGCTTAGTGTTTGACACGCTGCGCCTGTGGTCATTTTTGAAGTCTGTGGATTGGGAGTGCGGGGGTCCTTGGGTTTCACCAGAGCTCTGGGAAAGGTTTCACCAGAGCTCCTGTTTCAGGAACACACTGCGAGTTCCCCAGGTGAGTTTCTCTGGGAGACAGAGACATTAGTTATATTTAAAGGGCAGGTTCACTAGGGAACGGATAAAACAGTTAAAGACACTTGCATAGACACACGCGGGCAGGAAGAGCTGCCCCAGAAGGGACAGGTTTGCTAAGAGAGACCTGCCTGGTTGCAGGTGGGCGGCCTTGACTGGTCACGGGCAGGCAGGAAGCTGCTGCCCTGCAGAGGGAAAGAGTTGGTGGAAAGAGACACCTGCATATCACAGGTGGGCAGTGGAAGTGCTGCCCCTAGCCAGTGCAGAGACTGCACTGATATAGTCTTCTTCTGTTTGGGAGGGGCTCACTCCTTGTGAGCTGTCAGTTGGTTGCTAATTTTGGATAACTATGTAGAATTTGAAAGGGACCCAAGATTCCACAATGGGCTCAATCTCCATATCATTACCTTTGGGGTCTGTTGGGCTCAATCTCCATATCTTTACCTTTGAATGCGCCCTGGAATACCTGCTTGGATGTGATGCTTTGTAATCTAGGCATCCACACCTAAGGATATTAGTCTGCGCCTAAGGATACTATTTTCCACAACTGTGTTGTCTGTGCCTAAGGATCTTAGTTTCCATAACTGTGTCGTCACGCCTAATGATCTTGGTTTCCATAGCTGTGTCAAGGGCTATGTTAATCTCTTCTACCCCCACCTTCTTATGAGCCAGGTTTCTGGTCTTGCTGCGCACCTGCAACTCCTTTTCAATGTTTTTTCTATTCTTGTCCTCCATCAGTGCCTAATTGGAGTGGTTGGAGGATTATGTGTGTTGGGGGTGGGGGAGATGAGGTGTTTTATTTTAGGGAGAGGGTGACAGGAGAGAAACATGGGAAAACAGAAAGAGATTGGAACATGAAGTCTTTATTAAGAAGTCCTAGATACTGTAACAGGTTGGTCCCCAGGAAAGGGGGAGGTTCCAGGTGTCCTGCCCCACTCAAAAAGGAGGGTGGAGCTGAGCAGGGAGAGTGTGGAACCAAGCTTAGCCGAGGTTTCGCCATTTTGTATATCTTCCATATTACTGTAGGCCTTGAAGGCTATGTCTAATAAAAGTGTTAAAAGGATTTTAGGCCCTTGATTTAGTCTCCGGAGCCTGCACCTGATGTCAGAACAAGGATGGCTAAAAGATATATATTTTAATTACACATTTTTATACGTTTTATACAATCTCTATAAAATAGAGACTAGAGACCACTTGGATATTAAGTGACACCAAAACAGTGAATAATATTCTCCCAATTTTGAATAATTAAACATTATATTTTTTTTTTTATATAGTGTCTACATATAATACTGGAGAGAAAAATACAGGAAACACAAAAGTTATCATGCTGCCTCTTTTGTGAAGAAGCTAACTAGTTTTTTACCATTTTTGTCATTAACTATAAAACAGGTGTTTGATATAAATTATTTTACTTTACCTTGTTTACCTGTCCTGTGTCTAAAATGCTATTATTTTTTACATACACACTTTTGCATATAACACCTTTTTGCCAGGGGCACATGGGATAAAATAGTTGGTTTTTTTTTAACCAAGCAATGAATAGGCAATTGCCAAAATCCAGCAATGCATTACCAAAAAGGCAAAGGATTTTATAAAATACAAAACTGAAATTTTTAGATTTACTTAAGAAGCTAAAATTTTTATACTAATTTTTAACCAGAGTCCAGACTATTAAAAACAATTATAACATTATACAGTTTATAGAGTCAAGGCCAAAATACAGAGATATAGGACTCCTGGGAAAAGAAGTTAAAACACGCACAACAGTATAAGGTACTACCTTCACTTTACTTGTATTTAGAATTATTACATTTTAGTTTTTAATCTCTGCATGTAAGACACCATAATAGCTGTTTATTATCTCTGTAGAATGCACAACTTAGACACATTTTTTTCAGTAACTTGTCCATATGGCTTTAGATGTTACCTTGAATTTTGCAAAGAAGTTTAGTCCTTTACTGGGAGAATATATTGTTTTTTTCCAAGGGGAAAAGACAAGTAGATCAGTCTTCCTGGAACAAGATCTTATCAAGAGAAGTTTAGATAAAAGCCTAGAAGTAAGTTTGTTTGTTAGCATAGGCCAGGTTAATTATTATTTTTT